TTTAACCCACAGTGCCACCCACGTCCCTCCCTAGTCTGTAGCTGACCTAAATTCATTGAGTACAATGGAGTTCCTAGTTAAACCCACCCTTTGTGCAGAACCATGAGATCTAGAATCTTGGTCTCAGTGAGACTCAAGGGCTTGTGTCTTCTTGAATACCTCTTTGTCAGTTCCTAAGCTCCTTGTTCCATGATGGCAAACCTCTAAAAAAAGAAAACAAACGCCCCACTTTTAAAACCCACTTCCTAAACCAGTTAAAAACTGATTAGCTGATGACCCGACGGATAAGACGACAGGAAAACAAGCAGCCTTAGCTAAACACCCAAGAGGGCTTTCCGGAATCGGCAAATTTTCAGACCTGCCTTTGTGCAGAAAAGCAAGGCCAAAGGTTTGGGTAGTTTGCTGGCGATGGGTGGCCGTCCAAAGAGAGAGGGGGGGACGCTCTTTGCTCCAGAGTGGGGACACCCCAGCCGAAAATATGTCCGCTAGAAGCTTGCTGGGGATTTTTGTGGAGTGCTTGCTAGTGCATTTCCGAAGCGCCGCAGAACGGATTTTCATTGTTGTCGTTCCGTGGCTTGGATTCTCTCTGCCCTGGAAGCGGAGATTAATTTCCCTCCAAGAGTCAAAGGTGAGAGGAAAGCACACTCGAATCAAGGGGTCAGAAGTGCAGCTTCCAAGAATGGGGAAACCGGGGAATACCAGAAAGCCTTGAGTGTTCCTGTTGTGCTCTAAACTTGCCTAAATCCATGCGCCTCCATGTGGTTCTCATTGGGCATTGCCAGGACCGCATTTAGGTTTGATGAGGCCCTCAGCTACTGAAGGTAATGGGGCCCTTTATATGTCCAGCTGTCCTTTGTCAACAACAAATTGTCGCTGGCTTTTTTGTGTGTTGAATATATGCTACGTGGTAATTTATGGACCATAAAGAAGGCTGATCGCCGAAGAATGGATGCTTTTGAATTCTGGTGCTGGAGGAGACTCTTGAGAGTCCCATGGACTGCAAGAAGATCAAACCTCTCCATTCTGAAGGCAATCAGCCCTGAGTGCTCACTGGAAGGACAGATCCTGAAGCTGAGACTCCAAGACTTTGGCCACCTCATGAGAAGAGAAGACTCCCTGGAAAAAAACCCTGATGTTGGGAAAGATGGAGGGCACAAGGAGAAGGGGACGACAGAGGACGAGATGGTGGGACAGTGTTCTCGAAGCGACCAGCATGAGTTTGACCAAACTGCGGGAGGCAGTGGAAGACAGGAGGGCCTGGCGTGCTCTTTTGCATGCAGAAGATTGCGGGGGCAGTTTTTTATGTTCTGTTTCCTAGTTCGCTCCACACCCATTGGCAACTTTTTTAAAAAAGGAAATGTTGTGCAAAAGCCGGTCTGCCTGTTCCTGCCTTGCTTTTGCACTCAATTTTACATTGTCCTGCTTATTATTATTATTATTATTATTGCAGCAACTTACTCCACCGATATGAAGCAATTTTACACATTATTTTAATAGTCGTAGTAGTAGTAGTAGTAGTAGTAGTAATAATAATAATAATAATAATAATAATAATAATAATAATAATTTATGACCTATATCCCAGCCATTTGGCCGGGTCTCCCCAACCACTCTGTGCTGCTCCCAACAGAACATTAAAACACAATAAAACACCAAACATTAAAAACTTCCTTAAACAGGGCTGCCGTCAGATGTCTGCTAGAAAGTTGCTTATTGTCGCCTGGGAGGAGCCAGCACCGAGAAGGCCCTCTCGAGACAGACCCGTCCCAACAGCGAACTCTGAGTAGGACTAACATTGCATGATTTATTATCCATTTACTTATTTTTGTAATATGCACACTGCTTGGCGGCAAGATAGAAAACCTCAAAGTGGTTTAGAAGAATGAAAGGCCCAATAGAATTTTTAATCTTTTGTTGGAAGCCGCCCAGAGTGGCTGGGGAAACTCAGCCAGATGGGCGGGGTACAAATAAAAATAAAATAAAATAAAAAATGTTGTTGTTGTTTCTATGGGTGTAATTTTTTGGACATTGGTCTGCAGAGGCAGCAAGGCTGCCAATGTGAGCCAGTGTGGTGTTGTGGTTAAGAGCCGTAGATTTGTAATCTGGGGAACCGGGTTCGCGTCTCCGCTCCTCCACCTGCAGCTGCTGGGTGACCTTGGGCCAGTCACACTTCTCTGAAGTCTCTCAGCCCCACTCACCTCACAGAGTGTTTGTTGGGGGAGAGGAAGGGAAAGGAGATTGTGAGCCGCTTTGAGACTCCTTCGGGTAGTGATAAAGCGGGATATCAAATCCAAACTCTTCTTCTCTTCTTCCTCCATGGGGCTACCCCAGTTTCCTTCACAGTCCCCGCCACCTTGGACTCCTTTGAAACAGCAAACTTTGGAAGGAAAAGGGTGAGGCCAGCATCAAACATAGCTGGCCGGGTTTCTGTTTGTCTACGAGCTGACCTTTTCATAAATCTGGCAAATCTTTTGGAGTGAAAACACAGAGATTAGAAACTGGCAAGGCCTCCTCTGATTCTGTCCGTTTTTCAGTGGAAACGAGAAGGAAGCTTACGAATTTCGTTGGAAACGCGATTTCAATATGTTACGTTGAGGCGGGTTTTCCTACCACGCAAGTGTCCGTTCCACCAAAGGCCAGAGGGTAGCGTAAGGCCAAAGGATTTCTGCATCTGTGAAACTTTAACCCTTCCCCATGCCAATTTCATCGGACACCTCTCTCCCCCCCCCACTCCTGTTAAGGTACACCAGATACATTACCTTGCCGACAAAGGTCCATATAGCTAAAGCTATGGTTGTCCCAGTAGTGATGTATGGAAGTGAGAGCTGGACCATCAAGAAGGCTGATCGCCAAAGAATGGATGCTTTTGAATTCTGGTGCTGGAGGAGACTCTTGAGAGTCCCATGGACTGCAAGAAGATCAAACCTCTCCATTCGAAAGGAAATCAGCCCTGAGTGCTCACTGGAAGGACAGATCCTGAAGCTGAGGCTCCAAGACTTTGGCCACCTCATGAGAAGAGAAGACTCCCTGGAAAAGACCCTGATGTTGGGAAAGATGGAGGGCGCAAGGAGAAGGGGACGACAGAGGACGAGATGGTGGGACAGTGTTCTCGAAGCTACGAACATGAGTTTGACCAAACTGCGGGAGGCAGTGGAAGACAGGAGTGCCTGGCGTGCTCTGGTTCAGGGGTCCGCGAAGAGGCGGACACGACAAAATGACTCAGCAACAAGAAGTGTTGTGTTGGGGGTGGAATGAGGAACAGGACCAGGAGGGGTGCAAATATTGCAAAAGGGGGAAAAGGAGTCTTCCACGCTCAAAATGATTACCGCCAGACCCATGGCGGCATTATCGTCGTTTTGATTGTTTCTGATGTTTGTACCCTCCAACATTTCTCAGATGAAAATAGGCACGCCCCGTTCCATAATGATGATCTTGCTCTTTATACATCTTATTGGGTTGCCCCGGCCACTCTGGGCAGCTTCCAGGACCAGCATCCGGGGTTGGCTGGGGGGGGGCAGGTATCTTGTGCACTAGCTAGAAAAGCACATCAGAAGTGGGGAAGTGTGGGGTCTGGGAAGACTTCTCACCTGCAAACCTTTGATTGGCTCCACGCTCCCTGCAGATCCTTCTGCCTGCTTTTCAGAGCGCGTAGAATTTTTGTGCTTTACTTTTTTTGCTGGTTGTTTTTGCTTTACTTTGGAAAGCTCTAAGAGCTGCATTCTTGGGCATTCTGGAGCAAGGTGGTACAAACTTTGTTTGGCACAGAACAGGGGAAAGCCGCTTAGGAAACTCCCTTAAGGCAGTTTATTTTTCTCCAGGTACTCTATCACTTTTCCAGTTTTTCCCCAGGGCCTACTTTGTATAGCTCTCCGTAAAAATTAACAACTGCCTACATTATCAAAGGACAGAACTATCTTATTAAGTTCACCTACTTCAGCCTTTGAGGTCCAGCAAGCAATCCCAACAGCAATGACAAAACTAGACAGCATCTTAAAAAGCAGAGACATCATCTTGCCGACAAAGGTCCATATAGTTTTCCCAGTAGTGATGTATGGAAGTGAGAGCTGGACCATAAAGAAGGCTGATGGCCGAAGAATGGGTGCTTTTGACTTATGGTGCTGGAGGAGACTCTTGAAAGTCCCATGGACTGCAAGAAGATCAAACCTCTCCATTCAGAAGGAAATCAGCCCTGAGTGCTCACTGGAAGGACAGATCCTGAAGCTGAGGCTCCAAGACTTTGGCCACCTCATGAGAAGAGAAGACTCCCTGGAAAAGACCCTGATGTTGGGAAAGATGGAGGGCACAAGGAGAAGGGGACGACAGAGGACGAGATGGTGGGACAGTGTTCTCGAAGCTACCAGCATGAGTTTGACCAAACTGCGGGAGGCAGTGGAAGACAGGAGTGCCTGGCGTGCTCTGGTCCAGGGGGTCACAAAGAGTCAGACAACAACAGAGGAGGCTGCCCTAAACAAATCGCTGCTCTGGAGCTAGCCCAGATCGTGGACACTGACAGAGACACGACAAACAAACTCTTTATTTTATTTTAAGGGATGGTAATCCTGCTGTGCGTTCGGCTTGGGAGAAAATTAGCGTTCCGAACTTCTGAATCTGAGCGACGCAGCGCCATTAGTCAGGCTGGTTTCTCGGTGACCACATATCATGCAGAGATCCAGCAGGAAAGCTCCTTCGTTCAGGGTCGCAGTGGGATTCCCCTGAACGGCTTTGATGCAGGGAAACGGCTTTTTTCGCAGTTTATTGGAACACCTCCAATAAACAGAACGGGATTCGTCTGCTGATAAGCAAAGTTGAAGAGTTAATTGCTCCTCTTCATTCTTTGATTAAAAGGGGGAGGGAAAGTATTTCTGGAAAAAAGGCTAAATCCAGGATTCTAACACCACTCGGATTATGGGAAGAGGCAGGCTGTGAGGGGTGGGTGGATATTGTTTTTTAACGCCGCCCCCCCTCGACACAGGGGTGGGCGGAGACACCCACCTTGGATTTAAGAGGTGCTGGTGTCATTGAATTTCAGGCAGACTTGGAAACTGCACCAGGGTAAGAGTGCCGTGAGGAAGGAAGGAAGGAACTACATTAATTAATTTGGAACGAGACAGGCTGCTGCTGCTGCTGGAATAAGTCCGTGTAACTGTAGGTAGAGATATAACTCAATTGCAAAGGGCATGGCAACCATCAACTTGGGACTGCTGTTCGTATTCGTCAGGCTTGGCTGGGGTAAGTCGGATCATCCCCCCCTCCCAAAATCCAATTTTTATGTAGGATTAAACTGGAATTAAATTTATAAACAAGAAAATGTACGATAAGGAAAGTTATGTCATATGATTAGGACTGTGACATGGTCTTTTGAAACACTGATATTGGGAACTGCTACATATACCGTATTTTTCGCTCTGTAAGACCACAAGACGCACCTAGTTTTTGGAGGAGGAAAACAAGAAAAAAAATATTCTGAGTCTCAGAAGCCAGAACAGCAAGAGGGATCGCTGTGCAGTGAAAGCAGCGATCCCTCTTGCTGTTCTGGCTTCTGGGATAGCTGCGCAGCCTGCATTCGCTCCATAAGACGTGCACACATTTCCCCTTACTTTTTAGGAGGGGAAAAGGGAGTCTTATAGAGCAAAAAATACGGTAATTACTAAGAAATTCAGATGGAAGAGATTCGAGGAAGTCCAATACTATGTTTACGAAGATGGATGGTAATTAAAAGGTAATATGCTGTATGTATCTTTTTTCTCTTTTTCTCTTATTCTTTGTTTTTATTATTGTTAATCTTTTTTTTTTTACTATGTTTATCTACTGAAAATAATAAATATTATTTGGGGGGGATGCAATTTTTTAAAAAGAGAGGAAAATAAACAAATGCTATTCCCTCCTCCTTCCATGACCTTCCCATTATACAATAATAAAACGGCAATTCTCCCCACGACCGTCCCGACAGAAAAAACTGCAACGTTTTCCATTAGCGTCTCGACAAAAGGCCGTTTGCAAAAGGAAAAAGTGCATTGCTTTGTTTTGTTTCCCCCCCAATTGTTGTTTTTTTTAAAAAAGGAGAAGATTTCTTGCACGACTGAACAGATTTAGTCGGCTCCCAGGCCTTTTAATGGAACGAGGTTGCTTAGGAGTGTTGGGGTAGCAGTGAAAAGACAAGTCGAAAAGGCAAAATATTGCTGAAAGGATGCAGAATTCGCTTTGGGCGGGCGGAAGAAATGCAAAAAACTTGGGGCACCTTACAGAACCGATTGCCACTAGATGTGTGGGTAATAATAATAATAATAATAATAATAATAATAATAATAAATTTATTTATACCCCGCCCTCCCCGGCCAGAGCCGAGCTGAGGGCGGCTAACACCAGTAAAATTACAGTAAAAACATAATAGGTGCGGAAAAAGCCAATTTAAAATACAAGTTAAAATGCAATTTAAAATGCAGCCTCATTTTAAAAGTAGCCCATTATGGCACTGAACCTTCATAGTTTCGTTTTATCCTTATCTGCGAGCCACCTTGAGTGCATTTGTTGGCTCCATGTCTACGGAACTCCCTGCCACAAGATGTTAGCATCTCACCCCTTCAGAACTGGCTTTGAAACTGCCCTTGCAACGCCTTTTAAATCTAAGGCACTTCTAGTTATTTACTCCTCACAAAACTTCTTGCAAACCTACAAACGTCGTCTGATCTTCACAAATACTTTTCAAATAGTCCGTAAATTTACTCCAGTCTTCCGTGAGTTTCTGGTCCGCCGGTTTCGAATCCTTCCTGTTAGTTTATCTAGTTCTGCATAGTCTATTAACTTCATCCTCCATTCTTCAATCATCGGTAATTCTTCTTGCTTCCATTTTTGGGCCAATAATATTCTTGCTGCTGTAATTGCATATAAAAAGAGCTTATATTCCTTTCTATTTATGTCACTCCCAACAATGCCCAGTAAAAATGCTTCTGGTTTCTTTATAAATGTATATTTCAACATTTTTTTCATCTCATTATAAATCATCTCCCAGAAGCATTTCACCTTTTTACATTCCCACCACATCTGATAAAATGTTCCCTCTTTTTCTTGACATTTCCAACATTTATTCCTGACTTTATACATTTTCGCTAACTTGACAGGTGTAATATGCCATCTATACATCCTTTTCATCACATTTTCTTTTAGGGCATTGCATGCAGTAAATTTTAAACCTTCTTTCCATAATTTCACCCAATCACTCAGCTGTATATTATACCCAAAATCTTTAGCCCAGTGAATCATAACCGACTTAACCTCCTCATCCTTCAAATGCCATTCAACAGGTCTTCCCAGTTCCGTCCTGACCGTCCACCCTCAGAAGGCGCTGGTGGAACTGGGAGGCTCCGTCCGGCTGACCTGCTCCACGGACTGCCCCGGTGGCAAGGTCCAGTGGGAAGGCTTGGACATTGAGCAGGGCGAAGTCTTCTCCAACAAGACTCACAGCATCCTCACCATCGCCAAAGCCACCGTCAGCATGGAAGGAGCCAAGTTCTGCACAGGACAGTGCAGGGGGACCTCCGGACAGAAGAAGGTGGATCTGCAGGTGTACTGTAAGTGCCGAGGTGGAGGCGAAGGGGGTGGCCGGGGGGAACCTTCTGCATGCCAAGCACCCGCTCCGCCCCTGAGGTCGCAGCTGCCTGCAGAAGGGGCCTCCTGTGGTGTCAAGGACACCTGCTTTGCATGCAGAAGGTGTTCAGAGTTGAGGTGCAAACTCAGCGTGCTCAGAAGGGTTTAAGGCAGCTGGTCTAGGAATCTGGACATCTCCGTCCCGTCCTTTGACATTAGGCTGATAGGTGTTAAACCATAGCTGTCAACTGTCCCTTATTTGGCGGGAAACTCCCTTATCCCAGCGCCGTGTCCCGCTGCTGTCCCTTATTGATGATGTCCCTTAAATTTCCCGGGTTTCATGTTCGCCCGGCTCAGGAGGGAAGCAGCGGCTCAGGGTCCTCCATCGCGAGAGAGAGCGTGCGCACGAGCTGCCGCGTCTCTGTCTCTCCCTTTTCTCCCTCAGGGGCGCGTTGTGAGGAGACAGGTGGCAGCTGGCGGGCAGGCAGCCCCTCTCTTGCGAGATTTCCACCACGCTGCCAGGAGAAACCGAAGAGGAGGGGATGGGGAGGGACGCAGAAGGGCGGCGCTTCAGCAGCTGCCGTGGTGCCACAACCGCCTCATGCCAGGCTTGCGGGCGGCATGGGCGAGAGTCTCTCTCTCCCTCTCTCTCGGGCGGGGAAGGGCCGGTGGAACTCCTTGCACCAGGACGACGGCAGCCCCGACATGCTGCTTAGCATCCCCTCCAACCAGTGCAGCATCTTAATGTAGCGATTTCCACCTCTGCATCCCTTTCATAACTCTATTTTTATAAATCATTTGTCCCTCCGTAGTTCAAATTTTTACTACAAGTTTTCTGTCAATCCTACCAATGTGTGTAACTCTTTACAATAGCTTTCCAACTAAATTATAAACTTCCCCCATTCTTTATTAAAGAGGTCCTCTTCCTGGTTTCCAATTCTGCCTGTAAGCCTGGGAAACCCAGCCAGATGGGTGGGGTATAAATAAATTATGATTATGATTATTTTAAAAATTTATTGATTTTCACAAAATTATAAACAAACACATGAAACAAACATAAATCATAACCTTATTAACAATTACACTAATTAACATTGTTAAGTGACTTCCTCGCTTCCCCTTGGTTGAATGTCAATGCAAATCCTTTTAACGGTTCTTACAAAATTTACCGTAACTTGGAACGCTAACATCCTTAGAGCTTTCCATTTTGAAATTAAGCATATTAATTCATCACTTAACTTATATAAAATCCTAAGCCAGTTAAGTATCTGCAAGCTGTTTCCGATTGATTTAGCTTGACATATTTAACTAAGTAATCATTAAATTTAGTTTATTATTATTATTATTATTATTGGGACGCGGGTGGCGCTGTGGGTTAATCCACAGAGCCTAAGGCTTGCCGATCAGAAGGTCGGCGGTTTGAATCCCTGCGACGGGGTGAGCTCCCGTTGCTCGGTCCCTGCTCCTGCCAACCTAGCAGTTCGAAAGCACGTCAAAGTGCAAGTAGATAAATAGGCACCGCTCCGGCGGGAAGGTAAACGGCGTTTCCGTGCGCTGCTCTGGTTCGCCAGAAGCGGCTTAGTCCTGCTGGCCACATGACCCGGAAGCTGTAGGCCGGCTCCCTCGGCCAGTAAAGCGAGATGAGCGCCGCAACCCCAGAGTCGGTCACGACTGGACCTAATGGTCAGGGGTCCCTTACCTTTACTTATTATTATTATTAATGCCCCACGGGCTGTTTTCCAGCTTTCCCTGATGCCTTGCAACTGGACTCTGAGCCGAAGATTATGAGGACTGGGCAGCCCGCTCGTCTCGTCTGCTCCTTGAGCAAGGTGTACCCTCCAGGCTCCCTGACGCTGACCTGGTTCCGGGGAGAGGAGAGGTTGGAGGCTACGAAGGTGGAAGAACGACATGGAGGATTTTGAGCAGCAGCTGATGTTCTATAGCTCCGTCCTTGAGGTCCCGGCGGCTGCAGAGGGAGCAACCTACAAGTGCGAAGCTACTCTGGAGGTCGAGACGGACACCTTCCGCCAATCCAGGATGGCCGTCGTGAACTCCCAAAGTAAGCTTTGACCGTGTGTGAAACCCACATGGAGGAGACCCAAGCCTAAGAGCAATGCTCCCCTCCCTGCCTTCACGCCTACTAAGCCCCTGATTGCTTTAAGGTAAAGGTAAAGGGACCCCTGACCATTAGGTCCAGTCGTGACCGACTCTGGGGTTGCGGCGCTCATCTCGCTTTATTGGCCGAGGGAGCTGGCGTACAGCTTCCGGGTCATGTGGCCAGCATGACTAAGCCGCTTCTGGCGAACCAGAGCAGCGCATGGAAATGCCGTTTACCTTCCCGTCAGAGCGGTACCTATTTATCTACTTGCGCTGGCGTGCTTTCGAACTGCTAGGTTGGCAGGAGCTGGGACAGAGCGACAGGAGCTCGGTCCATCGCGGGGATTCGAACCGCCGACCTTCTGATCGGCAACTCCTAGGCTCTGTGGTTTAACCCACAGCGCCACCTGCGTCCCCGATTGCTTTTATCCTCCCTGAATTTGTCCCATCAGATTGAGGTTGAATCCTGACAAGACAGAAGTACTGTTTTAGGGGGGACAGGGGGCAGGCAGGTGTGGAAGACTCCCTGGTACTGAATGGGGTCACTGTGCCCTTGAAGGACCAGGTGTGCAGCCTGGGAGTCATTCTGGACTCACAGCTGTCCATGGAGGCGCAGGTCCGTTCTGTGTCCAGGGAAGCTGTCTACCAGCTCCATCTGGTACGCAGGATGAGACCCTCCCTGCCCACAGACTGTCTCGCCAGAATGGTGCATGCTCTGGTTATCTCCCGCTTGGACTACTGTCATGCGCTTTCCATGGGGCTGGCCTTTGACCTGGAAACCACAACTAATCCAGAATGCAGCAGCTAGACTGGTGACTGGGAGCGGCTGCCGAGACCACATAACACTGGTCCTGAAAGACCTGCATTGACTCCCAGTATGTTTCCAAGCACAATTCAAAGTGTTGGTGCTGACCTTCAAAGCCCTAAATGGCCTTGGTCCAGTATACCTGAAGGAGCGTCTCCACCCCCATCGTCCAGCCCAGACACCGAGATCCAGCTCCGAGGGCCTTCTGGCGGTTCCCTCCCTGCGAGAAGCGAGGTTACAGGGAACCAGGCAGAGGGCCTTCTCGGTAGTGGCACCCGCCCCGTGGAACACCCTTCCATCAGATGTCAGGGAAATAAACAACTATCTGACTTTTAAAAGACATCTGAAGGCAGCCCTGTTTAGGGAAGTTTTTAATGTTTGATGTTTGTGTTTTTAACATTCTGTTGGGAGCTGCCCAAAGTAGCTGGGGAAACCCAGTCTGATGGGTGGGGTATATATAATAAATCATTATTATTATTAAAGCTCTCCGTGTTGATGGCTGTCACTGCCTCCTGTGGCAGGTAGTTCCACAGCTCAACTACATGCTGGAGGGAGGCTTTTTTTTTAATCTGTCCTGAATCTTCCAGCATAGTATGCCTTGGGGGACAACTGCTAGCTCTATTCCTGGGTTGTAGATGCCACAACCTCTCACGCAGAGGGAAAACACCCCACCCACACAAACAGGATAGTACCTTAACTCCCAGAAGGCCCCCATCAGCTCTGGATCATTTAGAGATCCAAACGCATAAATCGGCTTTTTTAAATCCGGATGCTTTGGACTACAAATCCCATCATCCCTCACCTTTGGTCAGGGCTGGCGGGAGCCGTGGCTCAAAGCATTGGAGGGCACTGTGTTGGGGGAAGGCTGGCGTTACATTAAAAATATGGCATCAACGCTCAGCCCTTGCTGATAAAAAAAGAACTGGCCCAGATTAATCAACTAAACTCTAGTTGATTAATCCGCTAGTGAAAACCTTGCAAATGCTTTTTTTTTTAAGATGCAAAATCCTTTGGTTCGCAGCCACACAGGTGCCCAGCACTACAGAGGAGGCCACCTTTGCTCTTGTGACGGAAAGAACGAGCCGCGTGGCTACTCTGGAGTCGGCCATCACCGAGCCGCCGGCGACCACCCAGGGCCTTCCCCTTCTCTCCACCGAGCCCCCGACCACAACGTCGACCGCTTCTCCCACCCCAGAACCCCTTCCGGAAACGAGTAGCCTTTCCCCGACGAGGAATCCTGTTGCGGCGGTACAGACGAGCTCTCAGAATTCTGGGACTGGGGCCAACACCGTGCAAGTCCCTGTCTTGACATCGACGGAGACCCCAGCGACTTCGCAACCCCCTCGCTTGACAGATGAGCCACCTACCACCGCGCCTGTCCCCGCCACGGCCAGCAGCCTCGCCACACGTGCCGCCGAAAAGCCACACAGCTCCTCCGCCACCACGGACCCCTCCAGAGACCCCTGCCGCCCCGTCATCACCCCTGTCCCCACCCAAGGCAGCACGGGGGGCACCCTGCAGATCACGTGCCTCACGGCCGACTGCGGCAAAGACGTCCAGGTCCGGTGGGTGGAGACACCTGTGGCTAAGTCCCGGTACCGCCAGGAAGAAGCTGAGGGCCGGTCCACCCTGGTTGTGGAGAGCGTCTCCCTGGAGCACCAAGGGGTCTACCGGTGTGTTGCGATAGCCAGCCAGCCTCGCATGGCCAGCTTGACCATCTCCATCGTGCCTAATGGTGAGTACACAGGGGCTCCTTGTCCTTTAATTCTGGCCTCCGCAAAAGCCCTGCTGCCCACCGCCCATCGTCGCCTAGGGGGTCCTCCCCTCTTGGCCTTTTGGATCCCTAGGGTCTCTGTGTTGTTGTTTAGTTGTGTCCACCTCTTTGTGACCCCCTGGACCAGAGCACGCCAGGCCCTCCTGTCTTCCACTGCCTCCCGCAGTTTGGTCAAACTCATGCTGGTAGCTTCGAGAACACTGCCCCACCATCTTGTCCTCTGTCCTCCCCTTCTCCTTGTGCCCTCCATCTTTCCAAACATCAGGGTCTTTCCCAGGGAGTCTTCTCTTCTCATGAGGTGGCCAAAGTCTTGGAGCTTCGGGATCTGTCCTTCCAGTGAGCACTCAGGGCTGATTTCCTTCCGAATGGAGAGGTTGGATCTTCTTGCAGTCCGTGGGACTCTCAAGAGTCTCCTCCAGCACCAGAATTCAAAAGCATCCATTCTTTGGCGATCTGCCTTCTTTATGGTCCAGCTCTCACTTCCATACATCACTACTGGGAAAACCATAGCTTGAACTATACGGACCTTTGTCGGCAAGGTGATATTTCTGCTTTAGGGTCTCTGTTCCAGAACTGCTTTTTATTCCACTGGCTGAGTCATGTAAAAACACCAGGCATGCCCCACAAATAACCCAGTCCCAGCTAGCTGGACCAATGTTCTGACTTGGTATAAGGTGACTTCCTATGTTCCAGAGCAGGGATCAGCAAACCTTTTCATCAGGGGGCCGGTCCACTGTCCCTCAGACCTTGTGGGGGGCCAGACTATATTTTTTGGGGAGGGGATGAATGAATTCCTATGCCCCACAAATAACCCAGAGATGCATTTTAAACAAAAGGACACATTCTACTCATGTAAAAACACGCTGATTCCCGGACCGTCTGCGGGCCGGATTGAGAAAGCGATTGGGCCGCATCCTGCCCACAGACCTTAGCTTGCCTACCCCTGAGTTAGATCATCCATTATGGAAGATGCGCGGCAGACTTTCTGGCTATAGTGGTACCTCGGGTTACATACGCTTCAGGTTACATACGCTTCAGGTTACAGACTCCACTAACCCAGAAATAGTACTTCAGGTTAAGAACTTTGCTTCAGGATAAGAACAGAAATCGTGCTCCGGCGGCGCGGCGGCAGCAGGAGGCCCCATTAGCTAAAGTGGTGCTTCAGGTTAAGAACAGTTTCAGGATAAGAACGGACCTCCGGAATGAATTAAGTACTTAACCCAAGGTACCACTGTATTTCTAAAGTGGAGGGGGGTGTTGGGGGGAGTTACTGCCTCGGCACCAGATTCGCCATAGATTGCGCCAGGATTCTTGCGGTTACGGGAACCGCTGAATTGTACACCGCTCACGCTGTCTCCCTTTCTGTCTCTCTCCAGCTACTTTCAGCACAGAAACCGCCGTCGCCATCGGAAGCACCGGCTCCCTCTTGGGGGTTGTCATTACCGGTTACGTGGCCCGTCGCTTGTGGCGGCGGCGCGGCTAGGATCCGGCGGCTCTGCTGACACCCGCCTGTTCCGGCGCTGTTCTCTCTGCAGAAGTTACCGTGTTTTCCCCCTGAATTTTTCTGGGGCGCCTCTCCTGCCAGCTGCTGCTACTAGAGGGGACCCGCAGGACGACTCGAGAGGTTTCTTTCTGCGCTTCCTGGGGCCACAGAGAAGAGGCAACTCCAGCAGAGGCACCCTACTGCCCCGGTGGAGGGCGGTCAACTCTCCCCACCCACCAATCCATAGCTGTCAACTTACAGATTTGAAAATAAGGGACCAGCAGCCTCGAAAATAAGGGATCAGCAGCCAAAATAAGGGATTTTCAAAGTACAGGTATGTTCAACTTCTGAGCCCCTCCGAGCCAAAGGCAGAAAGCCCAGCCAGCAGCCAAACGAAGCCTCAAGCGGTGGTTCCCACAGCGCAGCAACCCAGCAAAAGGGATGCAGCAAGTAAAACCACCATCACCTCTCCGCTGGGAAGCGCTGAGCAAAGGCGAGTCCCCAGGCAACGCGGCCGATTTGATTGGCACAAGGCATGCAAGCTCCACCCCCAGTCATTCTTAGACTCCTTATTGGGTGAGCAACGCAGCCAAGCAACACAGTTGGAGCCTCCCTCCTCCCTGGCCGGCAGGGAGGGAGGGAGAGGAGCTGCTTCCTTTGAAACCCGGGAAATTTAGGGGACATCATCAATAAGGGACAGCAGCGGGACACGGCGCTGGGATAAGGGACTTTCCCGCCAAATAAGGGACAGTTGACAGCTATGCACCAATTGACAGGAACAACTTCTGCCAAGACTGAAACCATACGCCAGAATCCTAAGAGGTTTAGGAGGTCATCCGAGTCTAGCTGTCCAGTCAAACGCCGGTCCCTCCTTGACATTTTTTGAGGCCACGACCCAGGTTGCTTCTGACCTCACTTGAAATTCAGTGAGTTTTGAGTTGGCCTTTTTTAGGGTCAGGGCAGCGGGCAAACAGATGCCCCAAAGTTTTGAACACGAAGCGAGACTGGATAGAAACTATCCCTAGAGGTGTGGGCCCAACATCTCCTCCATTTCTCCCTCTTTCCCAATTCTTGGACTCGAGACGTCAATAGCTGGGTTTGCTGGCTGGCCAACAGACCCCCAAGCAGAAATCAAATCCGGTATTTCTTCGTGGACTTTAAATTCTCAGGGACGCAGGTGGCGCTGTGGGTTAAACCACAGAGCCTAGGACTTGCCGATCAGAAGGTCGGCGGTTCGAATCCCCGCAATGACGGGGTGAGCTCCCGTTGCTCAGTCCCTGCTCCTGCCCACCTAGCAGTTCGAAAGCACGTCAAAGTGCAAGTAGATAAATAGGTACCGCTCCGGCGGGAAGGTAAACGGCATTTCCGTGCGCTGCTCTGGTTTGCCAGAAGCGGCTTAGTCCTGCTGGCCACATGACCTGGAAGCTGTACGCCGGCTCCCTCGGCCAATAAAGCGAGATGAGCGCCACAACCCCAGAGTCGGACAAGAGTGGACCTAACGGTCAGGGGTCCCTTTACCTTTTTTTAATTGTGGCGATGACTACAGCCTTAGGCAGCCAAGCATCACAGAATCATAGAATTGGGACACCTGTGACACGGGAATCTTTTGCTCAATGCGGGACTCAAATCCACAACCCTGTGATTAAGTTTCCTTCTCTACTGACTGAGTTATCCCCCAGGGCTCTTCTGGTCTTTTTTATGGAGGGCAGATGTGTCAATTTGCTAGTGATGGAACCTCCACAGTCAGGGGAAGTCTCTCTGGGCTTAAAACAGCAGAGGAAGGGGACATCGCCTGTGGACAGGGCGGGTGCCAGGCAAATCATTGCTCCCATCAAGGAGTTAATCCAGTAATGCCTTTGTCAACGGCAGCCAAATCCCTAAATAGATCGCTTTGTATATAAGCCCTATCTATTGTACATACAATTGTTGTTTTCTGTACAGATTACCACTGCTGTAATTAAACGGGGTTCTTTTCCACATCATGTCTGCTTTGTGTGATCTTAACGAACCTTTAACCTTAAGCAGCCCCATCTATTGTGGGAAGACTGCTTAGAGGACAGCTTCTTCTATCTCAGCCTTTCTCAACCTGTGGGTCCCCAGATGTTGTTGGACTACAACTCCCATCATCCCTGAGCTCTCGCCTTGCTAGCTAGGGGTGATGGGAGTTGTAGTTCAACAACATCTGGAACCCACAGGTTGAGAAAGGCTGTTCTGTTTCATGGGTAGGCAAACTAAGGCCCGGGGGCCGGATCCGGCCCAATCGCCTTCTAAATCCGGCCAGTGGACGGTCCGGGAATCAGCGTGTTTTTACATGAGTAGAATGTGTCCTTTGATTAAAAATGCATCTCTGGGTTATTTGTGGGGCCTGCCTGGTGTTTTTACATGAGTAGAATGTGTGCTTTTATTTAAACTGCATCTCTGTTTAAATAAAACACTTTCCAAAATATAGTCCGGCCCCCCACAAGGTCTGAGGGACAGTGGAAAGGCCCCCTGCTGAAAAAGTTTGCTGACCCCTGTAAATCTATTTCTTAGAGGAGGGGGGCTGCGCTCAGTGACAGAACCCCTGCTTTGCATCCAGAAGGGCCCAGCTCCAATCCTTGGTCCCTCCAGAATAGGATCAGGGAGGAGATAGAAGGGGCAGGTGATGGATCTGAAAGACCAGGCACTGCCAATCAGTGCTGGCTAAACCACAGAGCCTAGGACTTGCCGATCAGAAGGTCGGCGGTTCGAATCCCTGTGATGGGGTGAGCTCCCGTTGCTCGGTCCCTGCTCCTGCCAACCTAGCAGTTCGAAAGCACATCAAAGTGCAAGTAGATAAATAGGTACTGCTCCAGCGGGAAGGTAAACGGCATTTCTGTGTGCTGCTCTGGTTCGCCAGAAGCGGCTTAGTCATGCTGGCGACATGACCCAGAAGCTGTACGCTGGCTCCCTCGGCCAATAAAGCAAGATGAGCGCCGCAACCCCAGAGTCAGCCACGACTGGACCTAATGGTCAGGGGTCCCTTTATCTTTAATTTAACATGGGGATTAGCAGCTAATAAAAGTTTGGGTTCTCTTTTGTTGGGGGGCTTCCATCTTGTTCCACCTTGTGGCAGGTGGGAGTGCTGTCGCGACAGTCTTCAATCAAGACCAAGCCTACTGGCTGCTGTTTTATAATAATAATAATAATTTATTATTTATACCCAGCCCATCTGGCTGAGTTTCCCCAGCCACTCTGGGTGGCTTCCAATCAAGTGTTAAAAACCATACAGCATTAAATATTAAAAACTTCCCTAAACAGGGCTGCCTTCAGATGTCTTTTAAAGAGAAGATAGCTGCTTAGTTCCTTCACATCTGAAGGGAGGGCGTTCCACAGGGCGGGCGCCACCACCGAGAAGGCCCTCTGTCTGGTTCCCTGTAACCTCACTTCTCGCAAAGAGGGAACCACCAGAAGGCCCTCGGAGCTGGATCTCAGTGTCCGGGCAGAACGATGGAGGTGGAGACGCTCCTTCAGGGATACAGGACCAAGGCCGTTTAGGGCTTTCAAGGTCAGCACCAACACTTTGAATTGTGCTCGGAGACGTACTGGGAGCCAATGCAGGTCTCTCAGGACCGGTGTTATGTGGTCCCGGCAGCCGCTCCCAGTCACCAGTCTAGCTGCCGTTTTGCTCTGGCATTCCTGGCTGGTGTCCTTCCTTTTTGTCCAAGGGAGCCCTCAGATTTCTCCGTTAACAGTGTGCACGTTCCGCATGTGCTTTAAGAGGTTGGACTTGTGGTTGAAGGCCTTGGAGCACTGCTCGCAGCCGAAGGCCGGCTGGGCCTGGTGGGTGCGCCGGTGCTGCAGGAAGGTGGAGCGGTGAGTGAAGGCCTTGGCGCACTCGCCGCAGCGGTGCGGCCGCTCGCCCGTGTGCACCCGCTCGTGCTCCTTGACCGAGGCCTCCCACTTGAAGCGCCGGGCGCAGTGGGCGCAGGCGAAGGGCTTCTCCTGCGTGTGGATGCGCAGGTGCTTCACCAGGCAGGAGGTGCGCTTGAAGCGCTTGGGGCACAGGTGGCAGGGGAAGGGAGCCTCGTCCGAGTGCACCTTGCCGTGCTTGTCCAGGTCGGCCCGCAGCTTGAAGCGCTTCCCGCAGGTCCGGCAGCGGAAAGGCCGCTTGGCCGAGTGCACTAGGCGGTGTTTGATGAGGTCAGCGCAGCGGGTGAAGGTCTTGGCGCAGCGCTTGCATTGGTAGGGGCGTTCGCCCGTGTGGATGCGCTGATGCTCGCGGAAGTTCGTCAGGTACTTGATGTCCTTCTCGCAGACGGCGCAGCGGAAGACGTCCACGTCGGCGGGAGGGGAGGGGGCCTGGGGGTGCCTCGGCTTGCCCGGCCGGACCACCACCTTCCTCCTCTTCTTCCGGGGGTGGGTTTTAGGAGGGGTGCGCCCAACATCCATGAGTTCCAGGCACCTGGCGAAGATGGGGCAGAGGATATATGGGGGTGGCAGATTTATTTATTCATTTCATAAAAAGCATACACTGATTTATCGGAAAAGGAAAAGAAAGATTACTGGGAAATAATACTACAGTGGTACCTCGAGTTACAGACGCTTCAGGTTACGGACTCCGCTAACCCAGAAATAGTACCTCGGATTAAGAACTTTGCTTCAGGATGAGAACAGAGATTGTGCTCCGGCAGCGCGGCAGCTGCTGGAGGCCCCATTAGCTAAAGTGGTGCTTCAGGTTAAGAACAGTTTCAGGTTAAGAACGGACCTCCAGAACGAATTAAGTACTTAATAGTAGATTTATTTATTCATTTCATAAAAGGCATACACTGATTTATTGGAAAAGAAAAAGAAAGATTACTGGGAAATGATACTAGATTCAAGTAGGTAGCCATGCTGGTCTGCTGTCATGGGTAAGCAAACTAAGGCCCGGGGGCCGGATCTGGCCCAATTGCCTTCTAAATCCGGCCCCTGAGCGGTCTGGGAATCAGCATGTTTTTACATGAGTAGAATGTGTCCTTTTGATTCAAATGCATCTCTGGGTTATTTGTGGGGCATAGGAATTTGTTCATTTCCCCCAAAAAAATATAGTCTGGCCCCCCGCAAGGTCTGAGGGACAGTGGACCGGCCCCCTGCTGAAAACGTTTGCTGACCCCTGGTAGTCAAAATAAATTAAAACAATTATTTAAAAAGATAGTTAAAAAGACCTAAAAACTCCCTTAAAAGAATCAAGCCTTCAAAAAAGTAATAACAAAGTACAGTGGTGCCTCGAAAGACGAAAAGAATCCGTTCTGTGATTCTCTTCGTCTAGTGGTTTTGTGCTCATTGAAGGATTAGCGCTATTAGCGGCTTTTAGCAGCTTATCTGCTGATCGGATCAGCTGATAAGCGGCTTAGCGGCTTAGAAAAAGGGGGGAAAGGGGGAAAAACCAGCAGGAACTCGCAAGACATTGTCGTCTTGCGAAGCAAGCCCATAGGAAATTCGTTTTGCGAAGCACCACCAAAGCGGAAAACTCTTTCGTCTAGCGAGTTTTCCGTCTTGCGAGGCATTCGTCTTGCGGGGCACCACTGTATTTAAAAGAATTCTTCCAAAAGAATTTTAAAATTATAATGTAGCACCTTAGAGACCAACTGAGTCGTTTTAGGTATAAGCTTTCGTGTTTGGTACAGGCTTCGGAATGGCGTGTGTTGTTTATGTCTGTGTGTACCGCAGGCGTTCCGCTTTTAGTGCCACTTCTTGATTAATCCTCCCAACCCAAGCTTTGCAGTTTTGACTCTTTATTTCTCTCTCCGTTTCGATTGTGGATGGAGGGAAGGAAACAGAAGCAAACATATAAATAAACACAGGCACGTGCACCCAAGAGACAAAGATGCTTGCAGTTTCTCTGCCCCCACATCCTCCTGCATGCTGGTCTTGCAACCAGGCTGAAAATTTAAATAAATTCTGGGGGGTGGGGTGGTAAAAAAACAACACCACCACCACACAGACTGATTAGCAACCCGCACCCTTATTGATAAATAAACAAATACCATGCAGTCACTCCTGAGCACTGCGAAGCCCTTAATAGCTTTAAATTGTATTTTAATCAACTTGTTTTTATTATTGGTTGTTAGCCGCCCTGAGCCTGGAATTGGCTGGGGAGGGCGGGGTATAAATAAAAATTTATTATTATTATTAATATTATTATTAAAGCCCTTAATAGCTTTGCAATGCTATTAGCCCCCCCCCCCAAAAAAACCCATGCAACCTCACTTTATGCAAACCCCGCCACTTACTGAGCTCCAGCAAGAGGAGGCTGGGGATCAAATTGCCAACGGAAGCAGATAAAACTCCCCCAAGTCACAGCGCAGCCGGTACACTAAAAGAGACGGGAAAACAAAACCAGCCTTTTCTGGCATATTAAGGGTAAAGTCACGTTGCCCATACTAAAGATGGCTGCCTGCACCTCACACCCGCCCAAACAGCACGCCTTATTCGCCCCGCGAGTTGGCGCAGCGCTCTGATTGGCTGCTGCTCCAACTCTCGCGACACTTCCTCTATCCTGCAGTTTCGACGGAAATGGACTGCTATAGAGCAGGAAGGGATAGACAGGCCAAGGGGGGGGGAAACACACACACTCGAATAACTATGATTTTAAAAAATAATAATACTGGATATCTATTTTCGATATGTTGCCGCAAAGCAGCGCTGCCTTATGCCTTAGCAACTTTATCGTAGAGCGCGGCCTATACTTCCGGTATTTATGGAGGGCGACGCTCTAGCCATTTCCCTCTTCATGGTGGAAGCTGGGTTAAAAACAAGAATGGCGGCCGCCTCGGCGTCTTCTCTTTTGATTGGCTGCCCGTCGCAAGAGCGCGAGGCGGGGCCCTCACCCAAAATGGCCGACGCGCGGCCCTCACCCAAGATGGCGGCCGTCGCTAAGCGGCGCCCTCAGACAAAATGGCGGCTAGCGAGAAGCGGCGCTCGGCGGCGGGCGGCGGGAGCGACCCGGCCCGGCCGTCCCTTCCCTCGAACGGCGCCCCGTCGGAGAGCGAGGCGGAGTTCCTCCTGCAGGCCGGCGTGAGCGACATGGTCCGCGAGGCCCTCCTGAAGGTGCTGGAGGCGCGGCCTGACGAGCCCGTCGGCTTCCTGGCCGGCTACTTCGAGAGGCTGGCGCAGGGCGGCCCTGAGGAGGCCGAGGCGGGAGAGGCCTTGTCGGCGGCCGACGGCGGCGGGGAGCCCCGGGGCCTGCTGCGGGGGCGCCTCGGACGGGCCTTGTGGTACCTGAGCCTGGCTCACCACTCCCACAGGTGCGGCAGGTGGGAAGGAAGGCCGGGGCGGGGAAAACTACAGCGCCCAGAATGCACCGCGGCAAGATTCGGGGCTCTTTCGCTGTGCTTTGGCGCGCGGGGCCTCCTGGGACATGAAGTCTTTCCCCCTTACTGTTTTTTCAGAGGAGAAGCGAATTATTGTTGTTAGCCGCCCTGAGCTCGGCTTCCGGGATATAAATTAAAACATATTATTTATTATTATTATTATTATTATTATTATTATTATTATTATTATTATTATTATTATTAAAGAGTAAACGCTTTAATTTTTTTTCAATTTTTTTTATTGGTTTTTACAACATTATAAAGGGACGCGGGTGGCGCTGTGGGTAAAAGCCTCAGCGCCTAGGGCTTGCCGATCGAAAGGTCGGCGGTTCGAATCCCCGCGGCGGGGTGCGCTCCCGTTGCTCGGTCCCAGCGCCTGCCAACCTAGCAGTTCGAAAGCACCCCCGGGTGCAAGTAGATAAATAGGGACCGCTTACTAGCGGGAAGGTAAACGGCGTTTCCATGTGCGGCTCTGGCTCGCCAGAGCAGCGATGTCACGCTGGCCACGTGACCCGGAAGTGTCTCCGGACAGCGCTGGCCCCCGGCCTCTTGAGTGAGATGGGCGCACAACCCCAGAGTCTGTCAAGACTGGCCCGTACGGGCAGGGGTACCTTTACCTTTACCTTTACAACATTATAAACAAACAAACACATAAGACAAACAAACATAAATCATAGCCTTATTGAAAATTACACTTGCTAACATTGTTAGGTGACTTCCTCGCTTCCCCTTGGTTGAATTTCATTGCATGTCCTTGTAACGGTTTTCCAAATCACAGTTCTTGTAAAATTTAACGTAAACATTAACATCCTTAGATCTTCACATTAAGAAATTAAACATATTAATTCAACACTTAACATAAATAATATCCTAAGCCAATTAAATGTCTGCAAGCTGTTTTCAGTTAATTTAACTTAACGTATTTAGCTAAGTAATCATTAAATTTAATCCACTCTTCCTGATACTACTCCTTCAGGACGCGGACTCTTCCGGTTAGGTCGGCTAGCTCCGAAAAATCCATCATCTTCATCTGCCATTCTTGTATCGACCTCCCCCCGCCCTCCCAAAAGCATCCATTCTTTGGCGATCAGCCTTCTTTATGGTCCAGCTCTCACTTCCATACATCACTACTGGGAAAACCATAGCTTTAACTATACGGACCTTTGTTGGCAAGGTGATGTCTCTGCTTTTTAGTCAAAATGACTAGGTGGGAATTAATCATACCAAGGACAAAATTTCCTTACCGTAGCCAGATTATTCTCTCGCTCAATATCACTTAGGGCTCTGTCTAGTTAAATTGTCTGCTTTACCTGTTTTATGTTCCTTCCCGTAGGATGGCCTTTAACAACAACGTCAGTGTGGCCTATGATTCCCTGTCCGCCGCCGGCAGGCGCAAGAAGCCCGGAGTCAGCGGGAAGCTCTACAGCGAGCTGCTGAGGCTGATGTGCCAAGACAAGGGCACGCCAGAAGACATCGCTCTGCCCCTGCTGAGCAAGGTCGCCTGCCGAGACCACGAGGCGGTGCCCTTTGACATCTTCCGCTACGGCGTCCTCACCTGCCTGGTCCTCCTCGAATTCCTGGCCAAGGCAGACTTGCTTTTCAACACACTGGGCGGCGGCTCGGGGGCGGCGGACAAACGAGTCTGTGCAGCGGTCCTGGGGACCCTGGAAGACGCCCTTTGCCCCGCCGAAGTCGCGGCCCCCATCCGCTTCCTGGAGGCCGGGTCCAAGCTTGGGCCGGATTGCTTGGCTTCGGCCATGGACAAAGCACTGGGTGAGCGGAAACCAAGCGTGGCCATGAAGAAAGAGGAGTTCCTCCAGAGAGCCTCGTCCATCTTCGTGGCGAGAGTGAAACCCGTCGAATGAGCTCTGAAGTGGGGTAGGTGGGTTTCTGTGTGTGTGTGCTTCATCTGGTTCACTGATCACCAACCTGGCGGTTCATCTAGGATAGAGAGACAATGCCAACTTCTTGTTTTGGGCCGGCGACGGAGAGAGATCGAAACGGAGCAACAATTTACCGACTTCGCTTTCTGAGGTTCAGTAGAGCTGCATGACTGATGTCCGAAACTGCTGCTCTTTTGTTGAGTAAATCTCATGTCAAACACTGGATAGGTTTGAAGGATGAAGGAGATATTTAAATTGGGTTATTTATATTGCAAACTGTCTCAGATTTCTTTCTTTCCTCTTCTTTTATTACACCACACAAGTCATTGCACCAGTCCACACCTTTTCTGGGTGTGCCCAGAATGTGGTCCCGGCTGCCCACCTTCCCCAGTCAGATTTTGGAAATTTGCACACAAGACCGGTGTTTTTTTACTGTGCTTCTTTTGCTCTCAATGCTGAACTGTGTGCTTAGACTTTTTAGATTTATTATTTCAGAACATAATACAGTGGTACCTCTGGTTGCGAAGGGGATCCGTTCCGGAGCCCCCTTCGCAATATGAGCAGAATGCAATCTGCGCTTGCGCGGGTCGCGATTCGCCACTTCTGCACATGCGCGTGACGTTATTTTGAGTGTCTGTGCATGCGCGAGCGGCGAAACCCGGAAGTAACCCTTTCCGGTACTTCCAGGTTGCCGCGGGATGCAACCTGAAAAGATTTAACCTGAAGCAAACGTAACAAGAGGTATGACTGCACATCGCTTGGTTGTTTAAAATAAACCACAAAAAACTCAAAAGTGGTTTTTGGAAGGAATTAAACAATACAATTTTCAGCCAAAAGGAAAAAAAGAAACAGCTTAGAAAACCACAATTTAAAACATTCAAAAATTTGGGAATAAACTAAAAGCAGGTTAGAACACACTTCGGCATTCTAGATATATGGACGGGATTGTCTTAACAAAAGTGTTTTTAGCCCACACCGAAAATAGTGCAGTAAAGGTGCCTGAGATCAACAGGCAGGGAATTTCAAAGTATACAAATGCACTGTGGAACTCCCTGCCTATTGATGTCAAGTAGGTACCTTCACTGCACTCTTTTCGGCGCCTGCCTGGTGTTCAGGCCTGTTTCCAGGCTACATCTCCACACACTCTTTGCCTGACTTGGATGTACAGTGGTACCTCGGGTTAAGTACTTACCGTATTTTTCGCCCTATAGGACGCACTTTTTCCCCTCCAAAAATGAAGGGGAAATGTGTGTGCGTCCTATGGGGCAAATGCAGGCTTTCGCTGAAGCCTGGAGAGCGAGAGGAGTCGGTGCGCACCGACCCCTCTCGCTCTCCAGGCTTCAGGAAGCTATCCGCAAGCCTTGGGAGCCCGCGGGAGTTACCGCCGGGCTCCCAAGGCTTGCGGACAGCAGCCTGCCGCCCGAAACCTGGGGAGCACAGCGGAGAGCACCCCAGGCTTTGGGCAGCTCTCCGCAACCCTCAGGAGCCCGGCGCAAATTTGCGCCGGGCTCCCACAGCTTGCGGGGCGCTGCCTGTTCTGGGGGCTGGGGTTGAGGGAAGCTCGGGCTTCCCCCGCCCCAGCCCCGCGCCTGGGGGGGGATTTTTTCTTTATCCCCCCCCCAAAAAAAACTAGATGTGCCCTATGGGGCGAAAAATACGGTAATTCGTTCCGGAGGTCCGTTCTTAACCTGAAACTGTTCTTAACCTGAAGCACCACTTTAGCTAATGGGGCCTCCTGCTGCTGCCACGCCGCCGGAACACAATTTCTGTTCTTATCCTGAAGCAAAGTTCTTAACCTGAAGCACGATTTCTGGGTTAGCGGAGTCTGTAACCTGAAGCGTATGTAACCTGAAGCGTATGTAACCCGAGGTACCACTGTATCTTTGAACTGAGAGAATGTCACTCGCTTGCCTGATGAGGGAATGTCTTTGTGCCTCTACAGAAACCTCTTGACTTTTGCATAGCTGGGATAAGCAAAGGTAATTGTAGAGGAGGGGTCGGCCGGTTCACGGTCCTGCAGATGCTGCGGTGGGCCGGAGTGCACAGGCACGCATGCGCAAACTCTATTTCCTGCGCTCCTTTTGGCACGGAGGAGGCGTGCGCAGCTTCCCATTGGCTGCAGGAACTTCCATAGGTTAAACTAACTCCTTTCCAGCCCCGGGAGGAGCGTTCGTGTGACACTCCTACTACACACTGCAGCAGACACACTAACATGTCGCGACACATGGTTTGGAAAGCTCTGGTATAGAAAAAAAATACCTTTAAGGTCAGCCAGACACCTTTTATCCTGGTAAGAGCACTGAAATCTTTGGAGAAATTACCTGCTGATCATTCCCCACAACCTTGTGCTCATCTGCGCAACCCATAAACTCCTAGAAGCTGTGCATTCACTGTAGTGAAGCCCCAAGGCTGTGCTCTCTTTATTATCTTCATTTTAACAGATTTCCATGGTGTTTTAATACTGTTACTGTTTAATTAAATGTTGTTGTTTAGTCATCTTAGTCGTGTTCGACTCTCTGTGACCCCATGAACCAAAGCATGCCTTGGAAACTCTCACTTTCTACTCAAAGCTTCTCCTTTTTTTATGTCCATGGAGTTTTCTTCGCAAAATACTGGAGTGGTTTGCCAGTTCCTTCTCCAGGTGGATCACATTTAGTCTGAACTCTCCGCTATGACCTGTCCGTCTTGGGTGGCCCAGCATGGCATAGCTCATAGCTTCTCTGAGTTATTCAAGCCCCTTCGCCACGACAAGGCAGTGATCCATGAAGGGGTTTAATTAAATAGTAATTAAAATTGTTGAATATATATATTACTTTTTAATTAAACAATAACAGTATTAAAAAACACCATGGAAATCGTTAAAATGAAGATAATAAAAAGATAATACTAAAAAGAACACACACACACACACACAAGCTTTCTGTAGGTATATATATATTCTATGTATATCATGCTATGGCCACACGGCTAATGCAATAAAATCTTAATAATAATAATTCATTTCATGCTATTTATATACAGCTTGATTGCAAAAAGGACGGTAGTTTATCTGGGCTTTCATAATTTTTGTAAGCTGCCTTTGAGGCCTAGTCTGGGGAAGAGGTGGATTTTGAAGAAGAAATAACGATAATGATAATAATTCCATTTCATGCAATTTAGATACCGCTTGATTCCAAAAAGGCAAGGATAACTGTGACTTTAAGGATGAATGGGAACCCTTTACAAAGTACCTGAAGATGCAACAAAGCGAACTGGACTCTGGAAGTTTTTGAATAAACATTCACAAACTTTTTATTGATAATAATCAGCTAAATAGTTTGAGGATCTATACAACTTTGTAACACGCAGAAAACAGCATTCTTAGAGAAACCAAAGACTGGAACTGAGGGAAGTCGGAGGGGGTTGGGGGCGGGAGGAAAAATGGGGGGCGGGGACCAAGGATGATATGTTTTTGGATAATATGTCTTGCTTTAATTTTGAATAAATAAACTAAAAAAAAATTCCAAAAAGGCAAAAAAACGCACCCTCAAGATCAGTTTACAAAAAGCACTGAAATCGCCTGTAAAAAAACAAAAAAGATTTAAAACAGCCATTGAAAATATGTAGGTGATTAAACACACAGATAGATAAGAGAGAAATTCACAAGACACTTCCTTGCTTATTTGTTTGTGTGTTCAATACATGCGGAAGGCGCTCCTCGCAAAGCCTCCTGGGAAATGCAGTCCTCGCCCTCCGGTCCCGCCCTCTCCCCCACCTCCAGAGACGCCGCTCATTGGCAGCCGCGCGTGATGGGCGGGGACGAGGGCGTGTCGCCGCCGCCGCCGCCTCCAGGGGAGGAACTACGCCTCCCAAGCGGCCCCGCGCGCGCGCTCTCTGTTGTTGTCGTCGCCGTTCCAGCGGCTCGAGCCCCTCCGCGGCGCTCTTTCGGGTCCGCAGCGGCCTTCTCCCTCCGCGCGCGCCTCTCCCTCCGCCCGCCGCCCTTTCCCCCCTCCCCTCCCCGCCACGCTCCTCCTCTCCCCCGGCCTCGCCGCTCACGCGAGCCCCCGGCTTCACCCGAGGCCTACCCGCCCCTCCGACCATGGCGCGGCCGTCCGTGCCCAGCTCGCAGAAGGCGCTGCTGCTGGAGCTGAAGGGGCTCCAGGAGGAGCCCGTGGAGGGTTTCCGCGTCAGCCTGGTGGACGAGGGGGACCTCTACAACTGGGAGGTGGCCATCTTCGGGCCCCCCAACACCCACTACGAGGGGGGCTACTTCAAGGTGAGACGGCGGAGGGGGGAGGCTGGGGGTCGCGGGTGGAAACACACACGGGGGCTGGGCCCTACTCCAGAGGAGACCCGCTTTAAAGTAGAAGGAAGTGGCTGGGTTGGGTCCTTTGGCCTCCAAGGGGGTCTGCTTTGAGGCAGGGCGAGCTTTACTCCAGAGGAGACCCACTGAAAGTAAAAAGATGTGGCTGATTTGGGTCCTTTGGCCTCCAAGGGGGTCTGCTTTGAGGCAGGGCGAGTTTTACTCCAGAGGAGACCCACTTAAAGTAGAAGGAAGTGGCTGGGTTGGGTCCTTTGGCCTCCAAGTGGGTCTACTGTGAAGCAGGGCGGGTTTTACTCCAGAGGAGACCCACGTAAAGTAGAAGGAAGTGGCTGGGGTGGGTCCTTTGGCCTCCAAGAGGGTCTGCTTTGAGGCAGGGCGAGTTTTACTCCAGAGGAGACCCACTGAAAGAAGAAGGAAGTGGCTGGGTTGGGTCCTTTGGCCTCCAAGAGGGTCTACTGTGAAGCAGGGCGAGTTTTACTCCAGAGGAGACCCACTGAAAGTAGAAGGAAGTGGCTGGGTTGGGTCCTTTGGCTTCGAATTGTGTCTACTGTGAAGCAGGGTGTTAGTGCTACTCTAGAGGAGACCCACTGAAGGTAGAAGGAAGTGGCTGGGTTGGGTCCTTTGGCCTCCAAGTGGGTCTACTGTGAAGCAGGGCGGGTTTTACTCCAGAGGAGACCCACTGAAAGTAGAAGGAAGTGGCTGGGTTGGGTCCTTTGGCCTCCAAGAGGGTCTACTGTGAAGCAGGGCGAGTTTTACTCCAGAGGAGACCCACTGAATGTAGAAGGAAGTGGCTGGGTTGGGTCCTTTGGCCTCCCAGAGGGTCTGCTTTGAGGCAGGGCGAGTTTTACTCCAGAGGAGACCCACTGAAGGTAGAAGGAAGTGGCTGGGTTGGCTCCTTTGGCCTCCAAGTGGGTCTACTGTGAAGCAGGGCGGGTTTTACTCCAGAGGAGACCCACTGAAAGTAGAAGGAAGTGGCTGGGTTGGGTCCTTTGGCCTCCCAGAGGGTCTGCTTTGAGGCAGGGCGAGTTTTACTCCAGAGGAGACCCACTGAAAGTAGAAGGAAGTGGCTGGGTTGGGTCCTTTGGCCTCCAAGAGGGTCTATTCTGAGGCAGGGTGAGTTTTACTCCAGAGGAGACCCACTGAATGTAGAAGGATGTGGCTGATTTGGGTTCTTTGGCCTCCCAGAGGGTCTGCTTTGAGGCAGGGCGAGTTTTACTCCAGAGGAGACCCACTGAATGTAGAAGGAAGTGGCTGGGTTGGGTCCTTTGGCCTCCCAGAGGGTCTGCTTTGAGGCAGGGCGAGTTTTACTCCAGAGGAGACCCACTGAAAGGAAAAGGATGTGGCTGATTTGGGTCCTTTGACCTCCAAAGGGTCTATTCTGAGGCAGGGTGAGTTTTACTCCAGAGGAGACCCACTGAATGTAGAAGGATGTGGCTGATTTGGGTTCTTTGGCCTCCCAGAGGGTCTGCTTTGAGGCAGGGCGAGTTTTACTCCAGAGGAGACCCACTGAATGTAGAAGGAAGTGGCTGGGTTGGGTCCTTTGGCCTCCCAGAGGGTCTGCTTTGAGCAGGGCGAGTTTTTTGGCCTCCCAGAGGGTCTGCTTTGAGGCAGGGCGAGTTTTACTCCAGAGGAGACCCACTGAAAGGAAAAAGATATGGCGGATTTGGGTCCTTTGGCTTCGAAGTGGGTCTACTCTAAAGCAGGGCGAGTGTTAATCCTGCTCTAGAGGAAACCCACTTTAAAGTAAAAGGACATGGCTGATTTGGATCCTTTGGCTTCCAAGAGTTTCTGCTCTAAAGCAGGGTGAGTGTTACTCCAGAGGAGACCCACTGAAAGGATAAGGATATGGCCGGCATGTGTGCCTTGATTTCAGTGGTTCCACGATGGAGCAGGATGATTTGTAATCCTACTCCAAAGTAATAAATGAGCATGACTTGGTGGGCTACTCTGGAATATTAAGTTTTGCCTTCATGTTCCCATTGCAGTTGTGGCTAAATTGGGACCACTGTCCTCAACTGAGTCTGCCCTAAAGCGGGGCGGGTTTTAGCCAGTGTTCGTCCTACACCAGAGGAGACCCATTGAAGGTAAAAGGACGTGGTTGCCTTGGGGCCCATGGACTTCAGCTAGTCTGCTGTGACGGAGAAGTCCTACCCAGTGTTAGTTCTACCCAAGACCCCTTGAAATTAAACAACAAGGGTGACTTGGGTCCACTGACTTCAGTGGGCCTACTTTGGAGTAAGACAATATGTACCCAGAGTGGAGCCATTGTGGTTAATGGACGTTGCTGGAGTTTAGACAAGTTTCTGGACACAGGACACACCTCTTTACGCTGTGTTTTCAGGATCCACCCCCATTCCTGTGACTGTGATTCTACTCTGAAGTAGGACCCGGACAGATACGACCCTTTGCCTTGAAACAGGGGCAAGAGGGAATCATTTTCATCCGTGTAACAAGAGAATAAACTTCTTTTCCTTTCTCTCCCCTCCTCCATTTAAAACGAAGGCAGTAAATCGCTTAAGGCGGTATCCAACCTACATTATACTAAGCCCTTTGAAAGCAATGGTCTTAAAATTATCTCTAACCTAAGAGTTGTAGCCAGTGTTAGTCATTGTTCAGAGCGGAGTGCCATGGAAATCAAAATTATGAGCAACAGAAGAATGGCGTGAGTTAGCAGAGCTAATGTCCCATCTAATTTAAGCATCCTGTTTTTACAATGAGCAACCAGGTGCCCGTTTTGGGAAAACCACAAACACAACAGCAAGACTTGCAGTTCCCAACACCCGGCGTTCAGAACCATACTGCCTCAACTGCAGAAGTAGAGTATAGCCATGAGGCATATGAATTTGTCCAGTCCTCTTTTAAAACCCTCCAAGTCTGCGGCCACCACTGTCTTCCGCAGGAGCGAGTTCCATGGGTTTACTATCTGGTGGGTGAATAGTTCTACTTATAAGTAAGTGGGACGCGGGTGGCGCTGTGGGTTAAACCACAGAGCCTAGGACTTGCTGATCAGAAGGTTGGCGGTTCGAATCCCCGCGACAGGGTGAGCTCCCGTTGCTCGGTCCCTGCTCCTGCCAACCTAGCAATTCAAAAGCACGTCATGTGCAAGTAGATAAATAGGTACCGCTCTGGCAGGAAGGTAAACGGCGTTTCCGTGCGCTGCTCTGGTTCTCCAGAAGCGGCTTAGTCCTGCTGGCCACATGACCCAGAAGCTGTACACCGGCTCCCTCGGCCAATAAAGCGAGATGAGTGCCGCAACCCCAGAGTCAGCCACGACTGGACCTAATGGTCAGGGGTCCCTTTACCTTTATAAGTAAGTAGGAGTTCTAAAATGTTTTTCCCCTCCTTGCCTGCTGCCAAAAACCTAGGATGGACTTATACAAGAAAGATAAAATTTATACCCTCCTCAGTTTACGTTTTCATAATAAAGGTTTGGCTTGATGTAAGTGTACAGATTTTTGAAGATCCGAATATTGCAGATAAGATCTGAACATGACTGTATTCATGACTGATGAGCTTTCCATTGCTGCTGTTAATAATTTTATACTATCCTTTTGATCCTTACTTTATAAATGAAGCCAAAATGTGGGCAACTATATCTGTTGCCCTGTTCAGGGAAGTTTTTAATATGTGCCATTTTAATGTATTTTTAATCTTTGTTGGAAGCTGCCCAGAGTGGCTGGGGAGGCCCAGCCAGATGGGCGGGGTACAAATAATAAATTATTATTATTATTATTACTTTTTGTCTGTCCTGAATCTTCCAACTGTTCAGTTTCGTTGGAGTTCTAGCATTAGGAGGAGGGGAAAAAATATCTGTCTACTTCCTCCATGCCATGCAAATTTTTTTACAATCTTGAGTCATCTCTCATCCTGCTCACCTTCTTCCTAAACTTGAAAAGTAAATAAATCAGGTGTTGTAACCTTTCCTTATTAAACTTTTACAAGTGAAGCTCTGAATAAATTCTAAACTTAGGCTTTTGTTCAACGAGACTACACTTGGAGGAGACCATTTGAAAATAATTGGCCGAAGTTAATTGGGTCCGCTTGGGGTAGGACTTAATAGGATGGCAATTTTAAGGATATAGTCATACTGTTGAGTAGAACCATTAAACTTAATGAATAGGGCCAGGTCATTCTCAAAGTAGACCTAGAATCATAGAGTTGGAATAGACCACAAGGGCCATCGAGTCCAACCCCCTGCCAAGCAGGAAGCACCATCAGAGCACTCCTGGCATATGGTTGTCAAGCCTCTGCTTAAAGACCTCCAAAGAAGGAGACTCCACCACACTCCTTGGCAGCAAATTCCACTGTCGAACAGCTCTTACTGTCAGGAAGTTCTTCCTAATGTTTAGGTGGAATCTTCTTTCTTGTAGTTTGGATCCATTGCTCCGTGTCCGCTTCTCTGGAGCAGCAGAAAACAACCTTTCTCCCTCCTCTATGTGACATCCTTTTATATATTTGAACATGGCTATCATATCACCCCTTAACCTCCTCTTCTCCAGGCTAAACAGGCCCAGCTCCCTTAGCCGCCGGAGTTGCCGCCGGGCTCGCAAGGCTTGCGGGCAGCAGCCTGCAGCCCGAAGCACGGGGCGCCCTCCGGAGGCTCGCAAGGCTCGCGGGTAGCAGCCTGTTCTAGGGTCGGGGGAAGCTCGGGCTTCCCCAGCCCCATGGCTGGGGGGGAAATTTTTTTTTTAATTGATTCCCCCCCCCCCAAAAAAAAAAAAAAACGAGGTGCGCCCTATGGGCCAGTGTACCCCATAGGGCGAAAAATACGGTGATTTCTTCCTGGTGTTTAGTCGGAATCTCCTTTCCCAGCAAGCAACATTCAGAAACGAGCTTCTTCCTGGGACACTGAACTAGGTGTCGGCATAGCTAAATAGGAGTGGCGGTTATCCCCATAAATGAATAGGCACGTAAATAATCCAAACAGGAAGCACGTGAGTACAGAGTTGATTGCATAAATAGGAGATATATTTTATGCACATGATTAAAACATCTAGGCTGTTTCCCCACCCTGTGAGCCTTCCAGGCAGTGTACGAAAATATTCATTAAAAATAAACAAACATTAACCCTCACCGTTAAAAACAACGAAGGCGCAGGATCAGTTTTATTTTATTTATTTATTTTGTTCTGTTTGCGATCAACTTCTCACGAACGACCTCAAAGCGATTTCGCAGTAAAAGCACTGACCTTTTATTTCTTTTTCTTTAAAACTGTATGTAAAAACGGTTAGGCAATTCCATTCATAAAATAATTTAAAAGGTTGCTGTCCGTCGAAGTGATTTCGCACCTGATACGCAGAATGGACAGGGCGGGAAGCAGACAACAGAGGCAGCAATCTCAGTAAAACAGAGCTAGTTGCTTAACTAGTATTGAAGGCCCATTCAAATATAGAAGTAGAACAGTAAACAGTAAAGGTAAAGGGACCCCTGACCATTAGGTCCAGTCGTGGCTGACTCTGGGTTGCGGCGCTCATCTCGCTTTATTGGCCGAGGGAGCCGGCGTACAGCTTCCGGGTCATGTGGCCAGCAGGACTAAGCCGCTTCTGGCGAACCAGAGCAGCGCACGGAAACGCTGTTTACCTTCCCGCCGGAGTGGTACCTATTTATCTATTTGCGCTTTGACGTGCTTTTGAACTGCTAGGTTGGCAGGAGCAGGGACCGAGCAACGGGAGCTCACCCCGTCACGGGGATTCGAACCACCAACCTTCTGATCGTCAAGTCCTAGGCTCTGTGGTTTAACCCACAGCGCCACCCGCGTCCAAAGGTACATATAGAAATGTCTAAATATGAACAGTGTTGTAAATAGCCACACGCTGTGAAGTGAATATCCAGATGGGAAATATATTAAGTGTAGGAACTATAAAGTGTGCCAGTATAGAGGTAAACAGACTTTGGGGCTGCCAATCCATGGGCATGGATCCCTGCCAAGTATGTCTCTGTGAATTCCTGTTCTAAGTATTTCAAACTCTAATAATAAGCAGTCCCTTGGGTACTCAAGGATGTGTTGCGAAGCCTGGTTTTCTCGCCTTCCAAGGTGACCTAAATAATAGGTATATAACAGGAAGTACCCCATGGCAATGCCAAAAATGGAGATCCGTTTCACGGTTCCTGAAGAGTCATTGCTTTTTGTTAGTGTCCCAACATGATTCATCCCCTAAAGGCCTTACTCAGGGGCCTTTTCTACAGGAAAAAAAAGAGAAGACAAGAATTAATAAACACTGCTTAGAACTTGTTTTAGAAACGATCTGCAAAGCCACAAATAAAACCCCGATTTTCTCCATTCCCTCATCAACGTCTTTCGCATAAAAACTTACTAGAAAATCTCCTACCAAGGAAGGTAAACGGCGTTTCCGTGCGCTGCTCTGGTTCGCCAGAAGCGGCTTAGTCCTGCTGGCCACATGACCCGGAAGCTGTATGCTGGCACCCTCAGCCAGTAAAGCGAGATGAGCGCCGCAACCCCAGAGTCGGCCACGGCTGGACCTAATGGTCAGGGGTCCCTTTACCTTTACCTTTAATTCACCCCTTGCCGAAAACTGGGCAGAGGCTTGTTTTTTCCTTCTTCCTGGGTGTACGTTTAGTAGGTCATCGGGATCCACAGGAAATAAACAAATGAGCTGCTTCCTCTGAGCCAGTTTTGGCCCGGGAATCTACTTTGGGTCGGTTTATGAGCCTGTTTTGCAATTTTGAGGTACCTGTCCATCTGCCCTTTTGTGCCTCTTCCCCGACAAACCTGTCGTGAGTCAGATCGGGAGTTGGCTGAGATCAGGTGGTTGGAGTTTGTTGTATCTTGGCAGATCTCCTAAAACCCAAGCCCTAGGGCTCGCCACCGGATGACACCAGCATATGGGGATGACGTCTCTTGTTTCGTCACGTAGATGATAATATCAAGCAACAGTAACATGAGTTTCAGTCCTATGCCTGCGGCTCAGAAGCAAGCCTGTTGGAGTGTTGCATGGCTCCTTTCCAGGAATCCTCGCATGCCATTGTTTTAGAGTTCCTAGCAAAGTTATTTACATGATATTGGCTAGCTACCTTACGACATAGGGACGCGGGTGGCGGTGTGGGTTAAACCACAGAGCCTAGGACTTGCCGATCAGAAGGTCGGTGGTTCAAATCCCCGTGACGGGGTGAGCTCCCGTTGTTCGGTCCCTGCTCCTGCCCACCTAGCAGTTCGAAAGCACGTCAAAGTGCAAGTAGATAAATAGGTACCGCTCTGGCGGGAAGGTAAGCAGCGTTTCCGTGCGCTGCTCTGGTTCGCCAGAAGCGGCTTAGTCCTGCTGGCCACATGACCCGGAAGCTGTACGCCGGCTCCCTCTGCCAATAAAGCGAGATGAGCGCCGCAACCCCAGAGTCGGCCACGACTGGACCTAATGGTCAGGGGTCCCTTTACCTTTACCCTTTTGGTCATCGTGTTGCCTAGGCATTGCTGACTTAAACAAAAATGGGCCGGTACACCCATCTGTACTTTGAGGGCAGTTCCACCGTTGCTGGAATGAGATAAATAAAAGATGCTCAGCTTTGTAGTTCAGGTGGAAGCCCATTGGTCGCTTGCTATGTCACATGACCCCCTGCCCAGAACTATGCGGGGGAAAGCCACGCAGACAAAAATCAAACAGAGGAGAAGGTTAGCGGAATAACACCTTTTGTTCTCGCACCGGTTTTCCAGATGGAGGCTGTTCTATTGGCCTCCCTTCCCCCAGAGGGAATGCTCCAGGTCTGATGACGAAACATACCTTCTCTATGGGAAAAGTTGCAGCATTTGGGACTTTTGAAAAGCGAGAAAGACGTTTCTAAAGTGATGCATGACATTGGGGAAAGCTGGAAGAGAAAGTTCTCCCTCGCCATAACACTAGAAAGTGTTATGAATGCTGAATGCTGGGGAATTTAGGAAGGACTTAACATATTTTTTCATGTACAGTCGAATTAAGGCCTTCTCGGAGGGCCTTCTCGGTGGTGGCACCTGCCCTGTGGAACGCACTCCTGTTAGATGTAAAAGAGAAAAACAACTACCAGACTTTTAGAAGACATCCGAAAGCAGTCCTGTTAGGGAAGCTTTTGATGTTGATGGACTATTGTATTTTAATATTTTGTTGGAAGCCGCCCAGAGTGGCTGGGGAAGCCCAGCCAGATGGGCAGGGTATAAATATTATTATTATTATTATTATTATTATTATTATTATTATTATTATTATTAAACACAGAGATGCCTTTTAAATAAAAGGACACATTCTACTCATGTAAAAATACGTGAATTCCCGGTCCGTCCGCGGCCAGATTTATAAGGCGATTGGGCCGAATCCGGCCCCCGGGCCTTAGTTTGCCTACCCATGCTCCAAGGAGCTATACATGGCTCACCTCGATTTTTAGCCTCACAACAACCCTGTGAGGTTGGCTGGGCTGAGAGGCCATGCTTGGCCCAAGAGCTTCGTGGCCAAGTAGGGATTTGAACCACAGCCTCCTGGACCCTAGCCAGACCCTCTGACTTCTCCTATTTGTGTCTGGCAACATTCTGCAGCTCAGCGCTTTCATGGCATGAGAGGGGGAAGCCCCAACATGTGCTTTCTCTTGTCTCTTTCTGAAAATCAGCAATAGCTTGGTTGCCCGGAGGCGGCTCTTGTTTGGCGCAGGGAAAGAGCTCCCGACGAGCCCGGGCAGGTCGCATGCTCTTTCCCGGCCAAGGCAAACCTGGGCGGGCCTCAAAACCTCCAAACGCCGGGGCGGCTTCGGAGGAAGTCGAGGCAGGGAGTGCCCGTGCCGATGGTTGCCGTGCATGACTCAGCTGTGCGCACAACACAAACGGGACTGCCTATGAGAGGAAGGGACGGGTCTTGGGTCTGGGAGGTGCCACGTGTCCAGGAGCCTTCCCTAGCCATTGGCTGAGTTGCTGTGATGTCACGGAACGTTCGCAAGCGCGCCGGGCAGCGGCGCTACTCCTCTGAGGAAACTCGGTTGTTCCTGGAGACTCTCAGGCAAGAACCTGGAAATTTTTGGCACGACTGTGTGCTGAATTTCACATTCGTGTGCACTTGGTTGTAGCATCTAAAAATTCGCATTTTGCTACTGGGGCAGGTCCAGTTGCGATCGCGTAGAGCATGGGTAGGCAAACTAAGGCCCGGGGGCCGGATCCGGCCCAATCACCTTCTAAATCCGGCCTGCGGACGGCCCGGGAATCAGCGTCTTTTAACCAGAGTGTCCTTTCACCGTATTTTTCGCTCTATAAGACGCACCAGACCACAAGACGCACCTAGTTTTTGGAGGAGGAAAACAAGGAAACAATATTCTGAATCTCAGAAGCCAGAAGAGCAAGAGGGATCGCTGCGCAGTGAAAGCAGCAATCCCTCTTGCTGGTTCTGGCTTCTGGGATAGTCTGCGCAGCCTGCATTCGCGTCCAAAAGACGCACACCACATTTCCCCTTACTTTTAGAGGGAAAAAGGGAGTCTTATAGAGCAGAAAAATACGTTATATAAAATGCACTCTATTTGTGGGGCCCCTGCCTGGTGTTTTTACAATGAGTAGAATGTTGCCAGCGCTTTGAATTGGTCCAGAAATCCACTGGCACCAGGTGCAGTTGGGGGGAGTGCCAGAGCAAAAGCCATTTGCAATTCTAAACCTACTTGTTTACAATTGCTGCGTCCAACACGAGCGCTGAACCACCATCTAACCGTTCTTCTGTTTCCCAACCTGCACCTCTCCGTTCTCTTTCTCCGAGCTCGTCTCCGATTCCCTATCGACTACCCTTATTCACCACCCACTTCCGTTTCCTGACCAAAATGTGGATCCAAACATATACGAGGTATGGTGGCACCACTGGGACATGGGCGTCGAGCTGGGGTGCCTTGCTGGGATGCCCTGGAATGTTGGCAAGAGACTCCGTCTGCCCACCCCCAACGGACACACTATTTTTCCACATATAAGACAATTTATTTATTTATTTGTTGTTGTTTTTTCAGTCAAAAATTGGGGGTCATCTTATACAGTCATACCCATAGCTGTCAACCGTCCCTATTTGGCGAGAAAGTCCCTTATCCCAGCGCCGTGTCCCGCTGTCCCTTATTGATGGTGTCCCTTAAATTTCCCGGGTTTCAAAGGAAGCAGCTCCTCTCCCTCCCTCCCTCCCTGCCAGCCAGGGAGGAGGGAGGCTCCAACTGTGTTGCTTGGCTGTGTTGCTCACCCAATAAGGAGTCTAAGAACGACTGGGGGGTGGAGCTTGCATGCCTTGTGCTGATCAACTCGGCCGTGTTGCCTGGGGACTCGCCTTTGCTCAGCGCTTCCCAGCGGAGAGGTGACGGTGGTTTTCCTTGCTGCATCCCCTTTGCCGGGTTGCTGCGCTGTGGGAACCACCGCTTGAGGCTTCGTTTGGCTGCTGGCTGGGCTTTCTGCCTTTGGCTCGGAGGGGCTCAGAAGTCGAACATACCTGTGCTTGGAAAATCCCTTATTTTGGCTGCTGGTCCCTTATTTTCAAGGCTGCTGGTCCCTTATTTTCAAATCTGTAAGTTGACAGCTATGGTCATACCTCATGTTGCATTCCGCTCTTCTTACAGACTTTCAGGCCCAGAAGTGTTTACTTCTGGGTTCGCCGCATGCGCAGAAGCGATTTTCGTGCACGTGCACGGAAGAGGCACTCTAGTTGCGAACTTTTTGGGTTGCGAACGGCACCCCAAAATGGATTAAGTCCACAACTAGGGGTACCACTGTATACCTAACTTTGGGCCTCTGCAAACAACTTTGGCCAACTTTCTTCCAAAAAAAAAGCTCAGAGTTTCGATGTTTAAAATATCAATTTCTTAATTCGGAGTTCAGAAAAATAGGGGTCGTCTCGTACATGGAAAAAATAATGGTATATCCATCTTTCAGACCGGGGACGTTTGCATTTCCATCCTACACCCTCCGGTGGATGACCCACAGAGTGGAGAGCTGCCTTCGGAAAGATGGAATCCCACGCAGAACGTGAGGTGAGGCCTGAGTTGCAGTTACGCTGTCCCTAGTCTGTCGTCATAAGATTGCCCAGCCCTCCCATCACGGGCAAAGTGAAGCAGTCACATCTGCAGGTGACTGATTTAAGTGATTGAATTTAATTTTTATTTATACCCCGCCCTCCCCAGCCAAAGCCAGGCTCAGGGCAGCTAACAAGCAATAATAAAGACAAGTTGAATGAATACAACTTAAAAACAAGATTAAAATACAACATTAAAATATTGAAACATTAAAATATTAAAATGCAGCCTCATCGCAGGAGGAGAAAGGAAAAAGAAAAAAGAAGGGGGGGGAATCAAATTGGCTCCAAGCCAAAGGCTGGGCGGACTAACTCTGTCTTACAGGCCCTGTGGAAAGAAGTCAGATCCTGCAGGGCCCTGGTTTCATGAGGCAGAGCGTTCCACCAGGCTGGGGCCAGTGTTGAAAAGGCCCTGGCTCTGGTTGAAGCCAATCTAACTTCCTTAGGGACTGGGACCACTAGGGTGTTGCTATTTATGGACCTTGAGGCTCTCCGTGGGGCATACCAGGAGAGGCGGTCCCGTAGGTACGAGGGTCCTAGGCCGTGAAGGGCTTTAAAGGTCAAAACCTTTAAGCTTGCCTAGCAGGGAGGCAGGGAAATCCGGTGGATATTTCCTCAGACAGTGGCCATGTTCCTCTGTCCTGGGAGTTGTTGAACCTCTACCCGTCAACCGTATCACGGCTCTGATTGGCTGTCTCCAATTTTGCATTATCCCCGGACGCCATATTAGGGTGTGGAGCTACGTGGAGCTGTAGAACCGACTGCGTTTGTCTTCGACAATAAAGAGTAAACTATCCATCATGTCCATTCCTTGGCTGGAAAGTGCTCTCAGTGCCCAACATTTGCTGAATTTAAAGGACTCTGGGGTTCTGTTTAGATATTTTGGAACCTTTATAAATTAAGGATTCTGGCTTCCACTGGAACCTTTGAGTCCGGTTCAGTGTTAGAAACACGGAGGTATAAGCTAGTGCCCAGTGGCGCCTTAAACCTAGGTTACAATCGCCACAGTGGAATGTCTATTCACCAGGGAGTTGGACTAGATGACATTTGGGTTCCCTTCCAACGCTACAGTTTTATGATCTCAACTGCGTTGCTTGACTGTAGCTTGCTCTTACAACAATTCACTGGGCCCAGCATGCAAGGAGGAGAATCACACCCACTGGAAACGGAAAATGGTACAGTCGTGCCTTGGTTATCAAACTTTATACATTCCGGGAGGCACGGCTTTTGGTTGGCTGCAGGAGGTTCCTGCACTCAGAGGTTCGGCTTCTGAAAAATGTTCGCAAACCGGAACACTTACTTCTGGGTTTGCGGCGTTTGGGAGCCGATTTGTTCAGCAACTAAACCGTTTGATAACCAAGGTAAAGGTAAAGGGACCCCTGACCATTAGCTCCAGTCGTGACCGACTCTGGGGTTGCGGCGCTCATCTCGCTTTACTGGCCGAGGGAGCCGGTGTACAGCTTCCGGGTCATGTGGCCGGCGTGACTAAGCCGCTTCTGGCGAACCAGAGCAGTGCACGGAAACGCAGTTTACCTTCCCGCTAGAGCAGTACCAATTTATCTACTTGCACTTTGACGTGCTTTCAAACTGCTAGGTTGGCAGGAGCAGGGACCGAGCAACAGGAGCTCACCCTGTTGCGGGGATTCGAACCGCCGACCTTCTGATCAGCAAGTCCTAGGCTCTGTGGCTTAACCCACAGCGCCACCTGCGTCCCATACGATAACCAAGCTACAGCTGTATTAACTATGGTCTGAGGCAGAGGTTTTTAAACTGGTTGCTAACCTGGCCTCCAGAAATCTCCACATCGTCGCAACTGGACCCACGCTAGTAGCAGAATGTGCTGGGCTAATTTCTGGCCCTGTTGACTTGGGCCAAAGCCCCACCTCATCCTGCTTTTCACAGCGTCTGATCAGATGGGCGCAACCCGCCATGGATGTCTCCTTCTTTCCTATAACAGCAGCGACACCGGTGAGTTCCTGCCGCCTCTTCCTCCCTCACCTTGTCATTTGCTTTTCCTTCCCCTCCCCACCCGCAGGACAATACTTCTCAGCGTGATCTCGCTGCTCAACGAACCCAACACATTCTCTCCGGCCAACGTCGACGCTTCCGTGATGTACAGGAAGTGGAAGGAGAGCAAAGGCAAGGATCAGGAGTACACGGACATCATCAGGTTGGTGGGAAAAGCCCCTAGAAATACCATTGTTGCCCTCACAACCTAGGTTTAAGGTGCTGTTGAGCTCCTCGCTTTCATATTTCAGTTTCTAACACAGGTATCTGGTTGGCCACTGTGAAAGGAGGATGCTGAACTAGATAATAATAATAATAATAATAATAATAATAATAATAATAATAATAATAATAATAATAATAATAAAATAAAAATTTATTATTTGTACCCCGCCCATCTGGCTGGGTTTCCCCAGCCACTCTGGGCGGCTTCCATAGAAACCAAAGATACAGTAAAATATCACAGATTAAAAACTTCCCTGAACAGGGCTGCCTTAAGATGTCTTCTGAATGTCAGGTAGTTATTTATCGCTTTGACGTCTGATGGGAGGGTGTTCCACAGGGCAGGCGCCACCACCGAGAAGGCCCTCTGCCTGGTTCCCTGTAGCTTTGCTTCTCACAATGAGGGAACCGCCAGAAGGCCCTCGGAAGTGGACCCTGGTGCCCGGGCTGAGCGATGGGGGTAGGAAATAATCCCCCCCCCAAAAAAAAATCTAGGTGCGTCCTATAGGGCGAAAAATACGGTACTTGCACTTTGACGTGCTTTTGAACTGCTAGGTTGGCAGGAGCAGGGACCGAGCAATGGGAACTCACCCCGTCGCGGGGATTCGAACCACCGACCTCCCGATTGGCAAGTCCTAGGCTCTGTGGTTTAACCCACAGCGCCACCCGCCTCCCGTCCACTCTAGGCAACAGGAAACGTTGCATTTGACTGCTTCGGTGACGATACATCCCACAGCTCCAGCAGCCGATCCCCCCCTTAACGCTCTTCTGCCGTCTGAATCCCTGTTGCAAACGAATGTCTTTTATCGCCCAACTAGGAAGCAGGTCCTCGGAACCAAGGTGGATGCGGAGCGCGACCAAGTCAAGGTCCCGACGACGCTGGCGGAGTATTGCGTCAAGACCAAGACACCCGCGCCGGACGAGGGCTCAGACCTCTTCTATGACGACTACTATGAGGACGACGAGATGGACGACGAGGTCAACAGCTGCTACGGCGACGAAGACGATTCCGGCAACGAGGAGTCTTGACGAGGGACACCTCCCCACCCCGCCACTCTCGTCAGCCCCCTCTTTTTCTCCGCGCCCCCTCTCTGCCCCCCTTCCCTCCACCGCTGCCTCCTGCTGCTGCTGCTCCCGTTAGTAGCAATAAACTATCTGACTCTTTTACTTGAACCCAGGACGCCACCCGGCTGAGACTCAGAAACAAAGCAAAAAACCCTCTCTGGCCCTGAGATGCGAAACGGAAAAAAAACTCTACCTCAAAAGGGAGACACTGCTTCTGCTGGAACTGGGGGTGGGGTGGGGGGGTTGCCTGTGTGCAGGGAGGGTTGGCAAATCTACAATTTGGCTTAAAATGCTGTGCGTGGTTTTTTTGTGTGTGTGTGTCGTCGGTTTGTTTGTTTTTTAAGAAAAGGAGAAGCTGGGAGGGACAGGAGAGGTGGGGCTCGTTCCCCACCGAGCCGTGGCCTAATCCAGCGGCGTCTTCTGCTCCCGGTTAAGAAAGACTGCAAAAAAAAAAGAGGGGGAGAGGACCTTGTGACAAGTCCTTTGCGGAGAATTGAGGGTGGGTGGGGGTTTGGAGGAAGGGCCTGTTTATTTTATTTTATTAGGCCATGTTAATTTGTGGGGAGGGGATTCTTAGTAAGGGCTCTCTAGTTGCATGGGTTGGGGGGGGATAATATTTTTGCAATCTCATCGGCCACGTTAAGTCCGGATCGAAAAGTCTCCTCTCTTAGATTGGCCCTGCAGTGTCACCTGGCGCCACTGGGTGGCGCTTGTACACCGTCTGCTTCCTGTACACCGTCTGCACCCCCCCCCACTAGGTGATGTTTTCCCATCCACCTGCGTGCTCACCCCCCCCCCAACCCGGCCTCTCTATGAGTTTGCTTGTTGGCTGTGCAGTTTCGAAAACCTACAGAGGGACGTTCTGGAAAGGGGCGGCAGTCCTTCTGCAAAAAAGCAAAATGAAATTTTGAAAATGACGGTTTTGTGGAATCAGGGAAAGCGGGGCAGGGGGGGCGCGTCTTTTTTTAAGCATCAAGGTGTGGGCGATTTCTTTTTTAGTTTGTTTTTTCTCCTAGTTTTTTGAAACTATTTAATAAAATGGACTTTGAAAGGAAGCGTGGTGTTGGACGGCAGCGTGGCCACAGCGCAGCCTGGGTTTTGTGTCTTTTACTCTGGTGTAAAGAAGGGGCGCAGTTGGAGGTGGAGCAATCACCCACTCGTCTACCTCTGTTTATTTTTATTTTATTTCTTCCAGTAGCGCCTTAAAGACCAACTAAGTTAGTTCTTGGTATGAGCTTTCGTGTGCATGCACACTTCTTCAGATACACATATTTTATTTTATTTTATTTATTAGATATTTTATTTATTAGTCTGCCCATTTTCACCTGGGGGGCTCATTTTGATCCTCAGCAACAGCCCTGCAGGGGTGGTTTGAGCCGTTCACAAAGTAAAGGTAGGATTGAACTCTGATTAATAAGAATACACAGAGAGGCTTGAACCAGCAAGACTCTGGGAAGGGTGCATATAATAATCTCTGTGTCTCTCCACCCCTTGGCCCAGGTCGTTTTATTCACAAAATAACTTTTACAGAGTGTTCGTAAGAACCAATCAGATTTCTTCTGAGCATTCAACAAACCCCACGTTGGGACAAAGTTAAACTACCAAAACTAATCAAGCACACATATTTCTGGGGTAAACAAAGAGCAGAACTACAAAGGAGTGCATTTGGCAACCCCAGAGGTGATCAAAGAAGCAATATACATGATAAGGAGGATGGCCAGGAAGACAGTGATCATTATTACCCTTCAGGTGAGATCTGTTTCCTGGCCCTAACATTATAATAATAATAATAATATTTTTTTATTTATACCCCGCCCTCCCCAGCCAAGGCCGGGCTCAGAGCGGCTTACAAGCAATAATAAAAACAAGAAGAATGATTACAACTTAAAAACAAAAATAAAATACAACATTAAAATAATGGAACATTAAAATATTAAAATGTAGCCTCATTGCAGAGGAGAAGCAAAAGAAAAAAGAAAGGGAGGGAGGGAATCAAATTGGCTCCAAGCCAAAGGCCAGGCGGAACAACTCTGTCTTACAGGCCCTGCGGAAAGAAATCAGATCCTGCAGGGCCCTGGTCTCATGAGGCAGAGCGTTCCACCAGGCCGGGGACAGTGTTGAAAAGGCCCTGGCTCTGGTTGAGGCTAATCTGACTTCCTTAGGGCCCGGGACCACTAGGGTGTTGCTATTTATGGACCTTGAGGCTCTCCGTGGGGCATACCAGGAGAGGCGGTCCCGTAGGTACGAGGGTCCTAGGCCGTGAAGGGCTTTAAAGGTCAAAAGCAGCACCTTAAATCTGACCCTGTACTCCACCGGCAGCCAGTGCAGCTTGAAAAGCACTGGGTGAATATGCTCCCATGGCAGAGACCCCGTGAGGAGCCTCGCTGCAGCATTCTGTACCCGCTGGAGTTTCTGGGACAGCTTCAAGGGCAGCCCCGCGTAGAGCAAATTACAGTAGTCAAGCCTAGAGATGACCGTCGCATGGATCACTGTGGCCAGGTCGGGGCGGGAAAGGTAAGGGACCAACTGCTTGATGCAGCGAAGGTGGAAAAATGTCGCCTTGGCTGTTGCTGTAACTTGCACATTAACATTAATGTAACATTAACATCCTAAGATTAACATATCAGAAAAGCTACATCAAAGAAACTTGCGCACTACCTTTGTGGCCCAGGATGCCTGCCTGGCGAAGCAACTGGGCCGTGTACATGACTTGTCAAGCAAGAGAAACGGGCAGTAAAGGAAATGGCCAGAGATGCAGAGCATTGTGGGATTTGGTCAGGAATTATTGTCAACGAATTAAACCCAGTCAACACAATGCATTAATCGTGGACACAACGGCTTGATGCATATTTTATAATTCCTCATAGTAATCCCACCTGACCCCACACTCTGGATATGTGCACTCCTACAGTGGATTGGCGGACGCGGGTGGCGCTGTGGGTAAAAGCCTCAGTGCCTAGGGCTTGCCGATCGAAAGGTCGGCGGTTCGAATCCCCGCAGCGGGGTGCGCTCCTGTCGTTCGGTCACAGCGCCTGCCAACCTAGCAGTTCGAAAGCACCCTCGGGTGCAAGTAGATAAATAGGGACCGCTTACTGGCGGGAAGGTAAACAGCGTTTCCGTGTGCGGCTCTGGCTCGCCAGATGCAGCTTTGTCACGCTAGCCACGTGACCCGGAAGTGTCTGCAGACAGCGCTGGCTCCCGGCCTATAGAGTGAGATGAGCGCACAACCCTAGAGTCTGTCAAGACTGGCCCGTACGGGCAGGGGTACCTTTACCTTTACCTTTACAGTGGATTGAACCCAGACACAGTGATTTAGAATCGTAGTCTTGTAGAGCTGGAAGGGACCAGTAAGGATCATCTAGTCCAACCCACTGCAGTGCAGGAATCTTTCACCCAACGTGGGGCTTGAACCCGCCACCCAGAGATGAAGAGACTTGGTCTGAGGTCACCTGGCGAGCTTCATCGCCTGCATAGCAGAGGGGATTTGAAATTGGGGTCTCCCCGGCCCTAGTCTCACTCTCTTGTCACTGCTTGTCCATGCCTGTCCTCCCTCTGGTTTGCTGAGAAATTGGCCTGATTTATAGCTTTCAGGGTTCCCTAACGAAAAGGCCATTACAGGTGGGTAAGCCCGCTCCCAACAGCATGCAGGTAACAGAGGAAATCTTAGGTACAGTGGTACCTCGCAAGACGAATGCCTCGCAAGACTGAAAACTCGCTAGACGAAAGGGTTTTTTGTTTTTTGAGCTGCTTCGCAAGACGATTTTCCCTATGGGCTTGCTTCGCAAGACGGAAACGTCTTGCAAGTTTGCTTCCTTTTTCTTAACACCGTTAATACAGTTGCGACTTGACTTCGAGGAGCAACTCATAGAACGTGGTGTGGTAGCCTTTTTTGAGGTTTTTGAAGACTTTGGTGATTTTTGAAGCTTTTCCAAAACTTTCCTGACACCGTGCTTCGCAAGACGGAAAAAATCGCAAGGCGACAAAACTCGCGGAACGAATTAATTTCGTCTTGCGAGGCACCACTGTATGTTCTGTGCCTGCAGGAGCATGGCCAATAAGTGTTGTAGTCCAATATTATCTTGAGGGGCACTGCTTCCCCAGCGCTGACCTAGAGGGCTCCTCAGGCAGAGGGCGGACAGGCAGCTTGCTCTGGATTGCCTGCATTGAGTGTTCCTCCATGAATTTGTCTGGTCCTCTCTTGTTGTTTAGTCGTTTAGTCATGTCCAACTCTTCGTGACCCCATGGACCAGAGCACGCCAGGCACTCCTGTCTTCCACTGCCTCCTGCAGTTTGGTCATACTCATGCTGGTAGCTTCGAGAACACTATCCAACCATCTTGTCCTCTGTCGTCCCCTTCTCCTTTTGCCCTCCATCTTTCCCAGCATCAGGGTGTTTTCCAAAGAGTCTTCTCGTGAGGTGGCCAAAGTATTGGAGCCTCAGCTTCAGGATCTGTCCTTCCAGTGAGCACTCAGGGCTGATTTCCTTCAGAATGGAAAGGTTTGATCTTGCAGTCCATGGGACTCTCAAGAATCTCCTCCAGCACCATAATTCAAAAGCATCAATTCTTCGGCCATCAGCCTTTATGGTCCAGCTCTCACTTCCATACATGACTACTGGGAAAACCATAGCTTTTGCAAAGGTAAAGGTAAAGGGACCCCTGACCATTAGGTCCAGTCGTGACCTTCTCTGGGGTTGTGGTGCTCATCTCACTTTACTGGCCGAGGGAGCCGGTGTACAGCTTCCGGGTCGTGTGGCCAGCAGGACCAGGGACGCGGACTTATAAAAAATATTGGGGGGGCCCGGGAAAGCTCATGAATAATAAATAAGCTCATGAATATGCAAATAAAGTGGCGCCGCCTCCTCGTGAGCGAATAGGGGAGAGCGTGCTGCGCCTATTAATCAGCTCCAAAGGAAATTGGGTGGAGCTTTTGCTCGGGAGGGAGGGCAGGAGGCATGCAGCCCGCCCCTCCCTGTGCATTTTGGGCTGGGGGGAGGGGCGGCGATGGCGCTCTGCTGGAGGGGCGTCGGAGATTATTGGGGGGGCGGAGCCCCCCAAACGAATTTTTGAGGGGGCTCGGGCCCCCTCAAGCCCCATGGAGTCGGCGCCTATGAGCAGGACTGAGCCGCTTCTGGCGAACCAGAGCAGCGCACGGAAACACCGTTTTCCTTCCTGCCGGAGCGGTACCTATTTATCTACTTGCACTTTGACGGGCTTTTGACCTGCTAGGTTGGCAGGAGCAGGGACCGAGCAACGGGAGCTCACCCCATCATTGCGGGGATTCGAACCGCCGACCTTCTGATCGGCAAGTCCTAGGCTCTGTGGTTTAACCCACAGCGCCACCCACATCCCAGTAACATCTGGATGGGCAGGCAATTGGGAGGGAATCTGCTTTAGGAGGTGGTAGTGTCCCTTTGTCATTGGCGTGCAGAGGTAGACTGCCCCTAGACATGGAGGCTTTATTGGACCATCAAGCCCATTAAAAGGGCAAACTAATTTTAAAGCCCTTTTCAGTCTGATCTCTGGTCATTTTTTTATTGAAACACACACACACCCCTTTATTCCCTCGGGATTTTGCATTTGGAAATGCGACACACTTTTATTTTTTTAATGGGTATCAAAACCTTCGGTGAAAAAAAGCAACTTTCCAAGCAGCAGCCTCGAATTGTAAGAACACCGCCTATTTCAGCCTATTGTCCTTCCCCGGCACCCGTTGATGTTGACTGTGACGTCAGACGTACGGGCGCTGGAGCGGAGACAACGGGCCAACTTGGACTGTGATTGGTCGGGGCACGCGTCCGTTTGGAGACTTCGCGTTCTCATTGGACGGCGCCCCGTGAGAGTGGGGCCCCGATTGGTCGAAGCTGCTGCTCCCCCTTTGCTCTGCGTACGTGACAACCCCGGCGCTCCTCAGGCGAGAGGAGTCGCCCGGCCCCTTTCACCTCAAGGCTATTCCTATTGGTTGCCGCACCAGTCCATCGAACCGCCCCGTCCCTCTTGGCGAACGATTCCTCTCCCCCGAGCCCCGCCTTCCCGCTCATTGGCTGGCCGCGCACGTCCTTCAACGCCAACCGACGACGAACTCCCCCCCCTCGAGCCTTCCAACCGCCGCTCTGGGCTCCACCCCTCCGGCTCTCATTGGGCCTCCCTGCTTCCCTCCGCCCAATCGGCGGCCTCGCAGACCCCGCGCGCTTGCTGTGGTTGGCTGCGGCCGCCGCTCTCTCCCGCCCACTCCCGCCGGCCTCTCGCTCCCCTCAGGCGAGCTGAGGAGGAGACCGAGGGCATAAAGCGGGGCGGGAAGCAGCGGCGCCGCCGAGAGAGGAGAAGCGGCCATGGGCGCCTGGGTTGCTGCGGTGCTGGTGTCGGGCGCGCTGCTGTGTGCTGTCGGGGGCGCCTTCGGGGCAGGTGAGGAAGCGGGGCTGCGGGCGTTTGTGAGGGGGAAAGGCGTCGAGCGTCGCCTGAGGGGAGCGGGGGAAGGGTCTCGCCTCAGAGGAGAGTCAACGGGGCCTTACTCTCGAGTAACGCTTAGGCCTCTATGAGGGGGAGGGGGTGCAAACCCGATGGGGTCACGTGAGAAACACATACACGTGTGTGTGTGAAGCGGTAATCCGAATCCAGCCCTCCTCAGAGTAGAGTCACTCTCGACGGCAGCGGGGCCTTACTCTCGAGTAACGCTTAGGCCTGTCTGAGGGGGAGGGGGTGCAAACCCGATGGGGGTCACGTGGGAAACACACACAAACACACGTGTGTGTGTGAAGCTCTAATCCGAATCTGGCCCTCCTCAGAGTTGAGTCACTCTCGAGGGCAGCGGGGTCTTACTCTCGAGTAACGCATAGGCCTCTATGAGGGGGAGGGGGTGCAAACCCGATGGGGTCACGTGGGAAACACATACACGTGTGTGTGTGAAGCGGTAATCCGAATCCAGCCCTCCTCGGAGTAGACCCGCTGGCGGCGGGTGCCGCCACTCTCGACGGCGACGGGGCCTTACTCTCGAGTAACACTTAGGCCTGTCTGAGGGGGAGGGGGTGCAAACCCACTTGGGGTCACGTGGGAAACACATACACGTGTGTGTGTGTGAAGCGGTAATCCGAATCCAGCCCTCCTCAGATTAGAGTCACTCTCGACGGCAGCGGGGCCTTACTCTCGAGTAACGCGTAGGAGGCCTCTATGAGGGGGAAGGGGGTGCAAACCCGATGGGGGTCACGTGGGAAACACACACAAACACACGTGTGTGTGTGAAGCTCTAATCCGAATCTGGCCCTCCTCAGAGTTGAGTCACTCTCGAGGGCAGCGGGGTCTTACTCTCGAGTAACGCATAGGCCTCTATGAGGGGGAAGGGGGTGCAAACCCGATTGGGGTCACGTGGGAAACACATACACGTGTGTGTGTGTGTGAAGCGGTAATCCGAATCCGGCCCTCCTCAGAGTTGAGTCACTCTCGAGGGCAGCGGGGTCTTACTCTCGAGTAACGCATAGGCCTCTATGAGGGGGAAGGGGGTGCAAACCCGATTGGGGTCACGTGGGAAAAACACACACGTGTGTGTGTGTGTGTGTGTGTGTGTGTGTGTGAAGCTGCAATCCGAATCCGGCCCTCCTCAGAGTAGACCCGTTGGTGCTTTTCCCATTCGACTCAGCTGGTGGGGATTACGCTTTTGAGGAAAGCTCGGGCAGCCCCCCCCTTTCAATTTGGGAGTCAGGTGCGTGGTCTCTTCCCTCCCCCTCCAGTCTCTTTCTCTCTGGGTGGGTTGGGGGGCGCCCATTATTATTATTATTATTATTATTATTATTATTATTGGCTGGGGAGTGTCAGGGGAAGCTCAGCCAGATGGGTGGGGTATAAATAAATATTATTATTATTATTATTATTATTATTATTATTATTATTATTATTATTACATTTCTATACTGCCCTCCCCCCAAAGATCTGCTGGGTGGGGTTCGCAAGGGGCTCAGGTGGGGTGTGTGTTTTTTGGGGTGGGGGATCCTCATCCCCAGCCCTTCTCTGAGAAGGGTCGACTAGGCACAAGCCCCCCCCTCAACCTTTAATCTCTTGAGGGAGGTGGGTTTTACTTGGGGCTGTATCCAAGTGCAGTTCTCCGCAGAGTAGTTACTGGTTTGTTTTTGGTTTGTTATGTATTTTTGTATCTTTCTGCTGCGAACCACACATAAATTTGCAGCGGGGAGAAATGAGAAGAAAATGTTAACGCTGGAAACCAGCAAACATCTACAGAAGTTGAAAAAAAGCACTTTGCCTGTGTTGCCTGTAAATTGGGGCAACCATTTCAGCCCAAGGGCTGCGTTCCTTTCTGGGCAGTCTTCCAAGGGCCACACGCCAGGGGTAGGCAGGGCCAGAGGCAGAAAGCGGTCAGAACAAAGAGTATGAATTTTATGAGAGAGTCCTCACCTCTGAAAGCAGTTCAGCTCTCTGCCCTGAGCTGTCTACAATCTACATCTGTGTTATGTTACACTATGTCTTTGCACAGGCAGGATGGATTCATTGGCTACAACCCAATATTCTTAACTAGTTGACTATATGTTACTATGATGTGTGGAGGGTAGCCTTTTATATTGCAAAGACTCATTAGAGTGGTGGTGTACAGTATTTGTGTACAGTGGTACCTCGCAAGACGGAAAACTCGCAAGACGAAAGGGTTTTTTGTTTTTTGAGCTGCTTCGCAAGACGCTTTTCCCTATGGGCTTGCTTCGCAAGACGGAAACGTCTTGCAAGTCTGTTTCCTTTTTCTTAACACCGCTAATACAGTTGCGACTTGACTTCGAGGAGCAACTCATAGAATGCGGTGTGGTAGCCTTTTTTGAGGTTTTTGAAGACTTTGGTGATTTTTGAAGCTTTTCCAAAACTTTCCCGACACCGTGCTTCGCAAGACGAAAAATATCGCAAGACGACAAAACTCGCGGAACGAATTAATTTCGTCTTGCGAGGCACCACTGTATTCTTAACGAGTTGACGGCATGTTACTATGATGTGTGGAGGGTAGCCTTTTATATTGCAAAGACTCATTAGAGTGGTGGTGTACAGTATTTGTGTACAGGGGTGTAGTGCTTGTTTGGTGAGAGGAGGGCAGGACAACCTGAGGACGAGGTACACAGGTGGCAAAGTTGATGTTTCTCTGTAGTAGTAGTTTTCTGAGCCCCACACTACTTTTTCCATGATAGCAAATGCAGCTGTTCACTTACCTGAAACAGAGTATATGGGTGCCCTTGGGGTGGGACCTCAACTTTGCTTGCTCTCTCCTTCTGGAAGCCACTAGTTGTTGAGAGTGCAATTTAACAGCTGCATCACAGGCAGTGTTTCTTGGGCCTAGATCTCACCGAAATGGTGAAACCCATGTCTAGATGGGCCTATCCGAATCTTAGGTGATTGCTACAAATGCTCTGCTCTTCCCCCCACCCCCCCCAGTCATCTTCTGCCAGCATGCCCAGTGGTCAGGGCTCATGAGAGTTGTTGAGAGATGCAATGTTGGGGAAGGCTGCCCTTTCATGCTGCAGGCTCAAGTGATTTTGCAGTAATAAAAAATTGCAATTTATTACTAAAAGCAACAGGGATGAAATGCTCCTTCCTATGAAAAGGAGGCATTGAGCAGGGCAGTGGATGGCCTAGAGGCATGTTCTGTGGAGAATCCCAATGAGCAGATAAGAGACACCTGGAGCCACATTCAGCAGCTGAACCTGAGGTTCCCTATAAGTGTGGCACAAAGTTGTATTCTAGGTATGCCTGAAGGAATGTGTTGTTTTTAAACTATGCCATTAATGTTCAGATGCCCCTCTTTTATCTCTCTCTTGCTCTCTCTCTCTCTCTCTCCACTAACTCAGTTATGGTAAAGCTGTGAACTGGATTCAGCATTTGCAATTGGTTCTCCTGTCTTTAACCAAACTAAGAAGAAAAGGTGTATAATTCTAAACCCTTGTTACAGGTGCCTTTGGAGAGGATAAATCTTTTAAAGAAAACCAAAGCTATCAGTCCGTTGTTAGCAGGAAAAGCCATCTCAGACCTCTACTCTTATTCCCTGTTCCTTATGTATCACTAAGTTAGGTTGGTCCATTAATTCCAGTGGGTGTGCCCTGAGTATGGCTAACTCTGGGAGCCTATGCCCAGAGAGGGGGAAACACAGGGGCATCTGCAAGAGAACCAGGCATCCTTGGAAGAGCTTCCATTATCATCCCTGTAATGAGCAATGGCTGAACAATATACAATTCATTTCTTAATTGGGGCTGACCTTCCCCTGCAGAAGAGAGATGGGAGTGGGCTTCTCTGTTGGAAGGAGTATGTGTGTATGGAATTGCCAAATGTTCCCCCAACTCAGTCTTCATGCAGTGCAGTAAGATGCCCATATAAGGTGACTTTTTGGTCTGCCCATCCTACTTTGCTGCTTGTAAGTGTGGGAACAGGTAGAAGCAAGTAACTTATTGGGAAATTTTCTGGTGTCCCAAAGCAGGGGCTGCTAGCCGTATTATTATTACTAGTTTTAATGCTCACCAGAAGGTCCCAGGGTGGGGGCAGCAGTGTAAAATACACCATTAAAACATCTTTAAAGCAAAGGGTATAGGGAAGCCTGTGGCTGCCTGTCCCACAGGTGTCACAATGGCAGCCCCGGCCCTAGAGAGCAATCTAATTCATTGTGTTCATTTGATTCCTATTCAGTAAACAAAGTTTAAAAAGAAACACCTTTGTATTTGCAGTTGGAATCCATTACAAAGGAGAATTCTTTATGGCTAGAATGAAATACTTCCTCCCACATCACTGGGAGTAAGGCACTCGTTTTGTGAGGGCCCATTTTCTTTCAATAGCTTGCATGTAGAATCATAGAGTTGGAAAAGACCACAAGGGCCATCGAGTCCAACCCCCTGCCAAGCATTTATTCGGTGTCCTTTCTACAGTGGGGGGTTACCAGGACATGCCTGCTGGGTTGTGGGAGGACTGTGTTTCTCTTCACAAGGAGGTGTGAGAGGAAATGGTTCCCATATTAAGGAGGATGGAGATGGCAAATGGGATTCTTGGCATACTGCTCCTCATTGCCCTGAAGACTGAGATTGGATTTTATTGTGGTTTTATTGTGCTTCAGCTGTGAGGGGGATGAAAAAGCTGGGGCAGGGTAGGAAAGAGGCTATATGGTACATTGACTTAAAAACCCTTATCACTTCTAAGGTTTGGTCGAGTTATGCCCAAGCATAGCTATGTGTGGATGTCTTAATCCTACTGAGATTTAGAAAAGGAACATTCCCAGGATCATGCCCTTTGTTCATTGACAATTCTTTTTTTGTTTCCCCACCATCCCAAAATACAAATCTGGAGGAAGGTTTGAGAACAGTATCATTTTCTTTAGTGAAACTCTTTGCTGCTTTGCAGATTAACTGGTTTCTCACCCCTGCCCTTCTTTTCTGGGGCTG